AATTTATATATTAAGAAGGCAGGTATTAACTTTTCTTCATAATTTTTTGACTCTTTATGGTATGATAACATTACCTTAACCCTTAGACGCGTGGTGGTCGCACCCTGAAACCCCCAATTTTTTATTTTTTTTTCTCTTCTTTCCAAAATTTTTGAGTGAAAATCAATTGATTACTGATCTATTACCTCTAAATAACACAAAATGAGTGCAGAATCATACATGTTATAGGTTTTAGCACTTCAAATTGGATGCCTTTTAAAATTCGTTTCCAATGAGACAAAATAACTTCCTTTTATTAATATAAACAACTTTAAATTTCAAAAGTTATTCATCGCACATCATGATTTCTATCATAAACAATAAAAAATACAAATAGTTAAACTGCATATATAAAAAAAAAAAACCCTCTATATGTATGGCATTTGCTTTGTGGTTTCAGAGCGCGACCACTGCACTTCTAGAGGCTCGGTAGTTGCACTTTGAAACTACTGCTCTTCACAATGGCGTTTGCTTGCTTCTCAAATAGGAATGTTTATTTTTACCCGGATATAGATAAGGGGTTTTGAAACCACAGAGCTATTCTATTACCAAACAATACATGCACATGCCCAGTAAAAAGGTCTTTCTTTTCCAGAGACTTTGACTCAACACACTTGCTCCCCAAGCTAGTATTATTGTGATTTTATAAATTATTTCCTTTGCTTTAAATTTAATGTAAATCTACTTTGCTATATTTAAATATAGAAATCGGGTAAAGTTTTATTTTAAATTAAAAATATTTTCTGAATATTTTGGGACAAAATACGGATAAAATAAGTATGAATGGGAAACGAATGGTCTGTACCACAGCCAAAAAGACCAAGCCCCCACCCCATTAACATAAAAAACTACAAATTTCATGTGCCAGATGAAAAGAAACTAAATAACTCAGGACATATACCAGTGAAATTTAGATCCAAGCAGTGTACATTTTGTAGCACAAAGAAGAAACCTCATAGAAGAAGATACATGTGCAAAATGTGCAATGTGGGTCTATGCATGTACCAAAATGAAAAACATGCTTTGAACAGTGTCCCCCCCCCAAAAAAAAAATTTTTTCTTTGAAATTAAAAATTAAAAAAAACACTCAGTCTTTATTTTATTCTTATTTTACTGAGTTTTTTTATCCGTTTAGCCAAACGTTCTTATTAATGTAGATACTTATATTTTCACTGCTATAGAAAAATTACATAAATGTTTATTTTTAAATTTTTTCCGACAACTTACTTTTCCGTAAAATAATGTAAAAAATTATATATAATGCAATTCTTACATAACGTTTTTAAAAATTCATAAACTTCATCATTTATTGGAAACGCGCATGGAGAAAGGTAAGTTTTTCTTCCCTACTACCTCAGTAAGTTTCAAAGTCCTAGACGCGCAGTGGTTTTGCAGTGTTACCACCACCCACAGAAAAATGGGCAACAGTAGATTTTTTTTAAATTCATATATTATTTGTCTCTAGGATCATAATATTCAATTTCTAGAGTTTTTAGTTTAAAAAATTATAAAAATAATATTGCTCGCGTCAAAGGGTTAAACCTTAACTATAGGGTAATGGAGGATTTTGAAGAGTTAAAGGATTATCTTGTAAATATTTATTGTAAATATTTGTAAAAATGTAAATAATCAATACTGTATTCTTTCCTTTTACTAATGAACGGCCAACTCTTTTCAAGTCTCAATTATAGCCCGAATTTAGTGAAGATTTTTATCTTTTTTTAATTTTCTTTACTTTTTAACCAGTATTTAGTAAGTTTTGCTTAAACCTGTTGAAATTCAGTTTTAATAAATTAAGACTATTACAAAAAAATTCTTACTTTAATTAAAAACATTTTTAAAAAAAATTTCTGAATTAAAATTTTATTAAAAAAATTTTTTTTTTCCATACTTTATTTCAAAACCTTTTCGATTTTTTACGATCCTTAATAATTTGCAACCATTTTTCACATTACGTTACAGTTAGCATTTTTTAGACATTTTTACAATACTTTGCAGTTAGCAAAAAAATTTTTGCAACAGTACACATTTTACTTTACCTAAAAGTTTATAGAATAGGTTTTTAAAATAGATCTAACAGATAGCAGCTTAACACTCAACTTTACCTTATATTAGCACACACTTTATAAAGTTAGAAGAAACACACTACTTAGTTTGGCATGCTGCTCCACTCTCAAAATACAAATATACAGTACAAAGTCCGTAATCCGGACTCATCGGGACTTTGGCGATTCCGGATTATGGGATTTTCCGGATTATAGGTCATCAATTAAAATCTGGAAAGATGGCATGCAGAAATTATACAATTAAAAATATGAAACCATAATTTATGAAATAAAAAGCAATTATGATCTAAAGGGTATCAAGTTTTACAAAAAAAGAGCTTAATATTTATTTGTTTACTTTATTAAACATTTCTTTCAAAGCGCGCACGCGTAAAGTTTGTGGCTTTGAGGTCCGGATTGTAGATCATTCCGGATAATGGACGTCCGGATTACGGAATTTGTACTGTAGTTAAATTAAAACTTACTATTTACTTGCCTTTTTAGTATTATTTATGTATTTTTTATAAAAAGTATCTAGTTTCTTTTTGATTTATCTGCATGTCGGAAAAGTTTTTTATAGTTTAGTTTTCTAAAAAATTTGGTTTTCTACTCTTAATTGACTTTAATTTTAATTCTAGTCTTTACTTGCTAATTTAATCTAAATTCCACTTGTTTAAATTTCTTTTTAGTAAATCACAACATTTGGTTTTACTTTTGGTTTTGAATTTTCTTTTTACCCTTGCCTATATGGATCACGAAACACGAATTGAATAATTGAAGAATTAGGTTTGGAGGCAACTTTCCTTTGATAAGTCTGTCTCCTGCCTGCTCAACAATTATTCCCTTATGCATTTTTAAAAATTTTTAGGATTAAAAATTTTATTGGAATTTTATATTCATAGATTTTGATACTTAATTTACATATGCTCTCAGAATTTAAATGATATTGTAGATTAGTTCACTGCAATTATTGATAATTTATTTGTAATTCAATTTCATTTTTAGAGAATTATTTCAATTTAATTTAACTTTACTATATTCTTTTGAAACAATTTAGTTACATGTATATACATTGCTGCAGCATTTTGCGAAATATAAAAATGTAACCTACGATTTTTTTCCCTCAGTTTGGTTTCATTTATTACTGCTGAAGAAACTGCATCAGAAATACCTATTTTAAGAAAACATGCAAATTCAAATAATTGCATATTCTAAAGCAGTTTGAAATTTAGAACTTCTAAAGGTAATTTATGAATCATTATAATAGTATTCGGAAATTGCAATTAACATATGTTTAGAATTAATATCTATTGCAATAACGGCTGAAAGAATATTTATAATACTTAAATTAAGTATTATAAAGCTTAAATAACCATAATACTTATTTAAGCTTTATAATACTTAATTTAAGTATTATAAAGCTTCTTTAATGAACCAATAAGAATTCAGAAAGTGGGTTTTTTTTCAATTTTTTTAAAATATTTTTTTAAATTCAGTTTCTTTGTTTTTATTTTAATTTTAAACAACTAACTTAATTTTGCTATGATAACATTCTGTTATATTCATACCAGATAAAAAAAAAATCTTAAACATATTTACTTGGGTGCATGGAAATAATTTAATTCGATGTATCTGTGTGTGTGTGTGTGTGATTACGGCAAAGCCTCGAAGGCTATCTGCCTAAGGGGAGGGATGCCTTCGTGGAGGACTTTCTACAGAAATCTGGCTCATATACACGTTACACATGGGGAAAACCATGAAAACGCCCATGCAGCCAGCCCATTCGCAGGATTCAAACCTCGGACCAAACTACCAGTGTTCAGCGACTTTACCACTCGGCCGCTGGTGGGCTCGATGTATCTGAGTTAACTCAGTTGAGTGCATTAAGAGATTATCTGAGACCATCAGTTTATCAAGAAAAAATTGTGAAACATGTCTTTTATTTAGTATACATAAATTAAATAAGTAAATTTTGAAAAAAGTTAATGATGGTTTTATTTTGATAAAAAGTTACATCTACAAAAAGCCTGAAAAGTTGTGCAAAATATTTTTGTATTATTTTTATTGTTCCTATACAGTTTATTACTTACTCTACCTCTTGATACATAAAACTAAAAATTATTATTGTGTACTGTTTTCCTGGGTATAAAATATCACTATTAAAACTATGCTATGATTACAAATAGCAAACTTTGCAAGTTTATTGAATAAAAAGTGTCTAAGTATACAAGCTAATGATTCATTAAAAACAGGAAAGAAAAGAAAATTTGTATTTAGTAGCCCAAGAGAGTATGAAGTAGCTACTTGAAATGAAAGACAACCAACTAGTAAGGTTTTGAAATAACCACCCTTGCAGAGATAGCATAAATAAGACATTATACAATCTAAAAAAATTAATTTGGATAACCTTATGTGTTCAAGTAGTTCTCAATCTACATTTTGTTAAAGGAATTCTGATTGCAGCTGCTATGAAGCTGTTTATAAAAAGGAATTTTTCTTGAAAGTTCAAATATTAGGTATGATTAGATTATTGATTCCAAGAAGATAGCAAGGCTCCTTACAAAACAACAGTTGCTTTTCCTATAATCTGTTTGACATTCAAGAAAAATATCATAGCCTTAGGCTTCCAAATGATTACTCTGACAGCATGCAATGGGCTCCACAATTCCCGGAATCAAGTCCACTCACCCCCTGTACAATTACATTAAAGATAATATCTGTCACCAGTCATCAAAATTAATTGAAGTACTCAAAAATTGCTAAAGTTTTTTTATAATTGGCAATATTTTAACAAACATCATTTATAATTATGACAAACATCTTTGTTATGTTATCACTTCTAGAGGAAACCATGCTGAAAATTTATCAGCTAATAATTTTTTATTTCAAATAACGACTATTTAACTGTTATTTCAAGTAACTGGAAATACTTTATTCCATTATCAAAAATTACATTATTCAGTGCATTTGAAAGTTCATCAATATTTAGTTACCTTAACTATTTTTCAAAGCATAATGTTGTATAAAGAAATCAACAAAATAAAATCCTTAAATCACATAATTAGCTTCTTATTTATGGCAATCAATTAAATATATCACAGAATGAATGAAAAATGCAGAATATATAAATGGTAATTCTTAGCTGTCTGGCTTTAAAGTATATACTATGCAAAGAAATGAAAACAGTGAAAATCTTCTAGTTTACAATTTTTCTTTGATCACGAGACTTGCTTCAATTTTTTCCAAGCTCGGCAAATACTTCAAGTTTCCAAGAGCAGCCACAGAAACTTTTTTTCTCAGCATACGTGTAGCAATATTGTGAATATCATCAGAAGTTACTTTAGCTGAAATTAAAATCATTTGCGTGTCAACATATATACATATATATGTAAAATATAAAACTGAAACTAAATCATTGGTGAAATTATTAACAATTGTCAATTAGATCTATAAATTTCCATTTTAGATTTTTATATGTTCCCCTTCTAGCATCTGCAATGCATCAGAATTTCTAGGCAGAGTGGCTACACTGCCTGGCTATTTTGTAGCCAATTAAAAATTCAGATAGAAACAATATATTCAGAGCTTATAAATAGCTGAGATACTCTGTGTCACTCTTTTTTTTCCCCCCCTCCTGTTTCACCTTATTTGCTGCCGGCAATATGTGTGTTCTCATCGCTTTGCTTTGTCCATTGTTTTAAAAATGTAATCCATTATATAAAAATGTGGAAGGTGCAATAAGCATATCAAATGATATACAAACATGTTTAGGCTTATCAAGAACGTCCATGAATAAATAAATGCATTGTTTTCATCAAATCTATCTCCATTATGTCAACTTGTGAATCTACCCGTTAAAGTCTTTCCAAGTAATTACAGATAACATCTCATCATTAACAACTATCTTCTAATCCTCAAGTCATCTGCAGAATTATTACATATATACATGTATCTACACACACACATGCAAAATATATATATATGTAAGATATAACAAAATATGATAGCTGCTTTAAAAAATAATTGACAACCTCAAAATTAACATTCTAAATTTGGTGCTCTCCCCTTAAATTCATCTGTTCTCCCAAATTCGAGATCTTTTGGTGTTATATAACACTGCTTGAAAAAGGCAACTAAACCTAACATTGACCAATCATAGCTTGTTTCTAGAATTGCACCTACTTTGGTATAAAACCTCTGGCGAGATAACTACGTCATTAATTCTGTCTTCTGCTACCTTCTACCTTGCTAACAGCTCCTTGCTTTGTGTCCCCATCTTTCAAATGCCTGTGTCATTCTTTTTAGAAAACCAATGTGTATAAGAAATTATTGTAAATATATGATTAAAGAGTATGTTGTCTGCAATGAATTATTCTAGTATGCCTGGAAGTCTGGAAATAAAGATAATTGGCTGAACTTAGTTTGGTATCAATTTCATCCTCTCGCCCTACAACTCAGCCATCATGACTGTGCTTCGAAATTATGACGTATATATATATACAATATTGTTGCAAATTTCTGTAAATATTGAAATCCTTTTGATCGCTTTGTTGTTTTTGTAAATTGTAGTGATATAAACAAACAAAATTAGTTTCAAAGCCTCCTATATTTTATCTTAACTTATTTCACCTGCCAGTTTATTTTTTCAAACCTGTTGCTGAGAGTGGTGATGGAGCTGACAAAATGACTGGAGGCAATAGATACAGCCATAATAATAAATTAAAAGTGCCAGAGCTGTAGCAGTGAAAAACATTTACAGAGGCTGTGTCATGCATGTAAAGGAGAGAAGTAAAAATCTTGCAAAAGAGCAAAAATTAGTGAAATAAGAAACTCCAATTTCTATCTCCAATATTCAATAATTATTTTTCTTGTTAAAGATCTTTTGTTGCAACAGTGATGCACTGTGGAACAGAATTTTTGATTCCATTTAGAATTCAGATGAGAGAAATATAACAGTGCTGGGAAAAGAACGGTCTCTGGTTCTATCACCCCTTGAAGTAGAATGTTATACTGTACATTCAGGATTTAAATTCAGCCAGATCTCTGTAAAGCTATTTATCTTTTTTGAGTGAAATCATAATTTTGCTGGAGGAAGGTTTGGTATTTTATTCTGTTATTTCATTATTTACTCTTAATTTGATCATTTCTTAAATATTTATTTATACTTTTTTATTTTATTGCATTTTAACTATTGCCTTAATTAATTATTTAATAATTTTACTAGTTACTTCCCCCTTTTCCTAGTGCCTTGCATAAGTCTCCAGCAATTCCAATTTTAGACATTTAACCCTGACTAAGTGACAAGCATTCAATGCAGATTGTTGTGAAAAGTATCAAAATATATTTTTCCCCTCAAAATAAAGATTTTGATCACAGAATCTTATAGAATTCGTATTCAGGAAACACTGGCAGGTTTTGGTTCAATTTTATTTTTTATGAAAAGTACAAAATTTTCCTATATGTAAGTACAAGGACCCAAGGACTGTATAAAAAGTTAAATTTTGTAAATTTCATTAAAATGATTTTTTCAAATTTGAAATGCAAAACATGAATAGTTGCATTATTCAAAATATTTTTCAAAATGAAAATATACATGTGTGGCCAACGGTAGTGAAAATAAAGACCATGTAAGAAATTTTGTGGACAAGGTGTGTATGTGTTTCTTTCTCTCGCCATATATATAAATAGCCAAAAACTGTTAAAACAATTTTTAGAATAAAAACTGATAAAATTATAGAACTAACCAATTTCCTTAATATAAGATTCAGTGTCCTTTTTGGTCCCATTAAACAAAACCTGAAGACCAACATCTTCAAACATGACTTGAGTGTATTCTAAATGCATTAAAAGAACTGACTGCAACTGGGCCTTGGCACGTTCCAATTCAGACTGAAAGTAAAAAATTTTTTTTAACATCTTGTAAAAATATAAGGCAATAAGCATGTTTCAGTTACAATTTTTTGACAATTATAAAAAGATTAACACATGCAATTTTAAAGAAAGATATCATCAAAATCATGATCTAAATTCTCGGATTTCTTAGAAATTGTCCTGTGAAACTGGGGTATTTTGAATTGTTAATAAAAGTTAAGGAATATTACTAGAAATAAAATCAAACTCATAGTGACTCTAAATTCATTTTAAAGATAAATAATTTTTCCTGTTAAATTCACAGGGAAATAAAATTAACTTCTGGAATAAAAATATGAATAAAAGAAGAATAGAAATTCTTCTAGAATAAAAATGTAATTTTTTAAAATTTATTAAAGACTTATTTTTTCATTAACAAAAGTTCTGCTTATGAGCAGTGAAACTCCTTGGCTTCTCACTTAAATAGCTTAAAATTTTAAATATGCATACTAACAAAGACTTCGTCTTTAAAAACTCCATACATCAAAGATTTCGTTAAAGACTCTGTCTTGTCTGTTAAAGATTATATTGGTGACTAACAGATATTGGAGATAAGAAATTGTTAGATGGAAAAAAAATGGTTCATTGAATGTAAAGAATTTTAGTAAGCTGTCCAGTTATTTACTAAATTATTCCCAAAAGTTTTACTTTGGGTAGGATGTTCAAAAGGATTTTCTGACCCAAAAAATTCATTAAAATTATGTATTCTGGTGAAATTATAATAAATAATATTTCAGGATGTGTGACATCTAGGCTATCAGTGTTCAAGGATGTTCTATATTCCGCCATAATATTACTCATATTAATAAATTAATTTTCTACAAAAGGTTCATGGAAGCAAATTACACCAGTTTTGTCAGCACTAGGTGATTCTGCCTTCCATCTTTTAGCTCGAAAACTTCAGTTTTTTGTCTCAAAAATTTAGAAGTTTTAAGTTACCTCTGAAAAATATATATTTAAGGAAAGAAAAATAATGGGTCTGCATTACACAAACCTGGAAATTGTTGTAAAGAGAATAGATAAGATTATTAAACACTACTAAGCCAAGATGTGTTTGAATTTCTGCAAATAGGTTGGCTACATGGGCACTCTGTGGCTTTTTCCTATGTGTAACACATGTAAAGATGAGCCAGTTTTCCATAGAGTTCATCCCTTCAGTCATTTTGTATCTTATGCAGATAGTCTTCAAGTACTTTACTATAAATGACTAAAGAAATAAACTTTATAACTATACTGCTTCAACATGTAAAAGTAACTGGAAAAACATTGTTTAGTTTTACTGCCACAGGCATCAGCATGAGTAATACACACATGCATCACTTGGACAGATGTATTCACGAAATAAGGTTCACAGACATGAATCATGCTACATTGATTTTTTTTCTTGCCCCTTCCCTTGTTTATTTTACTCAATGTTGAGGAGGTGGAAGATTACTATTCAGTAATAATATGGTTAATAAGCATCATTTGTAATTAATTGCTTGATTACATGGTGTTTAATTTTGTGCTCTCATTTATTTATTTATACATTGGTAAAAAGACGAAAGTCCTCAAAATTTAATTTTGTTATACATATATAACTTAATGGAAAAGTGCAATAAATGACTACATTTTTATAGCAACAAACTATTTCTTTGAGTATTATATTTTTATTGCACAAATTTATTATATTATTACCACAATTAATTATAATAATTTAATTAGTTATAATAATAGCATTATAGTACTATAATAATAATTATAGCTTTTGGATCTTTCTACTATGATTCCACCATGTATTATTAAAGAAATTTATTAATAATTATTTTAATTATTATACTCTGATAAATAATTATTATATCTCTTTTTGACCTTTGCTTCAAAATTAATATGCATTATTGTATATATTATGGAGGAAAAAGAATTTCTTACCTGAAGAATTTCTTCTTACTATTTTGTATTACAGTCACTATACATACTGAAGTCATCAATGTCATCATCAGAAGAAATAACTAAAGACTTTCCTCAATCTTTTATTAGACCAACTTTTCTGCAATAGTCATTTTCTACATGGATGAACTTATTTTTTGCGATTTTCTATAGTTAACTTCCAAGAGCTTCCTTGTAAACATAACAGCTTATCCATTGCCATGTCTTTAGCTGTACTGCACTTTTGTACAAATCTCTTTATTTCATTATTTCATCCCAAACAAATTCTTTTCCATTAATGTTGTAACAAACAAATTCTTTTCCGTTAATGTTGCAATTATATTACAGAACATACCATGAAACCATGTTCATCATACATTGAGTCAAATTTATATGTTTTTTCTTTACATACTCTCTTTAACAAACTCCATTAACTCCAGCTGCCATAGATTTGTCTAGCAATGTATATTTTTTTCCATTAACAATTGTATAATTTATTTGTATTGCCATTACTGGACATTTATTTACCTATACATTATTATAAGAGGCATTGTCTAAAAATTTATCAGAAGTTCACTTTTTATTAACAGAATAATTCATCTGTCCTTAATGGTTCCTGAAAATGCATCTGCTTTATATACAAGAAAGATACAAGACAAAAACCCTACATTACCTTTTTGATATATTTCTGCTCTGTGCAGTGCCAAAACCCATCTAAAATACTTAGCATTTTGAAAATGTCATATTTCCCTGAACAGCTCTTTTCCCTGAACGAAACTGTTTCAAATTTCAGAATTACTGCATTCTTTTCAGTATAATATCATTTCTTTTGATTAAAACATATCTCTTGTTTTGGCTTTTCTTCCACAGAAATTCAAATCATATAGCACTTCTTTTAATATTTCGGCTTTCAATTCAAAATTACATTCTCTTGTAGCACATGAAGTAATTTTGAAAATGATAGTATCTTTTTCTCCTTAATATGAAATTTGTGAACCATTCTTCATAACACATTACAGACAAACTTAATGCTATCTAGCACTCACTTTTTAGTTTTTCTGGTTAATGGAAAACTGCCTCTCAACTAATTTTCTTTATTGTCAATAGTAATACTCTTACAACATTGCTAGCTCATTTTGTATGCTGTGAGATGGGAATACTAACTTTCCTATTTTCAGCTTCCATGTCACAAAATGTAATTTATACTATGAGCACCACTGTGAAAAGCTTTGTTTCTCATTAATAAGATCTTCCTCAACAATTATATAAAGCATCACAATATTAGCAAATATCTCATTAAATCAATTGGGCAAATTCCAGTCAGCTGGGGTGAAATCCTGTTGACCAGTTTTTTTTTTACTAAAAAAAGAGAGAAAAAGAATACTTCCAACAAAAAGTACAGTTGTATACTTTTTTGTCTTATTTCTAAAAGTATGTAATGATTTATGTATAGTATTCATATAACATTCAATTAAATTATAAATTATGAAAATTTTGTTTCAACATTCTTGTTCTTTAGGCTGTGATCAATATGAATTTAAACATTTGTAAAATTTATTTATAAACAAATATTAGCCAAGACACAAAAAAGGCATTTGAGAATAGGATGACCAGAAAGATTTTCTCTGCCTTCCACAAAACACAGAATTCTCGTGTGATCCCTCATAAACATGATTATAAACATGTAACTAACATGTAATAATATCATAAACATGTAACTAACATCTCTCCTTGTGATTGTTTTGGCAGAATGCCAAACAAGGTTGCATTAGTGATAGTTTAACTGTATCACACAGAATGAAGTGAATGTGTTTCAGTTTACCTTATATTTTTAAATCATCACAATTCATCACTAAGTTTTGGGGTAGCAAGTTTCATTCGATGTTCACAAAATTGCTATTGTCACTTTAAAATAGAATGGCATGCATTCAGAACTGAAATTATCACAGAACTACAATAACTGCAGCCACAACCATTAATGGACAAGACATGTGGCTTTGTCTTAATCTTACAGTGTAAGTGGAAATGACTCGACACCTTTTTAAAGAACAGCATACAGATGCCCAAACATCAGACCTCATCTAGACAGCTAATTTGATTAGATGCACTCATTCTATTGTAGTGCACGAATTGTAAGAAACAGGACAACATGCACCAATAGGCATAACAGCAAGGATGTGTGGAAGGCTATACTAAAGATCAGAATCAAATTAAAAAAATTGTAGAAACTTGTTATATCACAACTAGTTTTAAGTTTTGGCATTACATAGAATTCAATGCCAACTTTAAGAAACTAATGATTATATTTGTCACAGTGCATGGTGCTTTAAATTTTGCTGTGTATGAAGACATATCATCAGACAAATAAGCTGTTCAAATGATGAACCAGCTTCACTACAAAATTCTCATGATGACTGCTTGACTACAAAATTCTCATGATGAGTTTGTGAGCATTAGAATTGAAACTTGAATCAAAAAAAAGATGATTAGCTAGCCCAGTGAATCTTATTTTGTTGCATCAGATGAACAATTATATGCATGCATCCTTTATCTCACATAGAAATGAAAGTAGAGTCTTATGTAAGTAGAAAATAAATTTATGAAGATAATATAACATGTTGTTCAAATATTCCAGATAACTTTGAGTCTGTGAACTTTATAGTGCACATATTTCATTTGCTGTGCCAATGAACAGTAAGAACAGAAATACTTCGGTCTACAAACAGAAATTTGTTTGTGCATATTATAAAGTCCATGTAAAAATTTTCGGCCAGTTCCATATAACATTCCCCCCCCCTTGAAATTCAACACAACAATTTGAAAAGAATAAGACTTAATCAATTAAACAACACAAAAAATACTCAAGATATCTAACTACAGAAACAAAGAACAGCAGAAATTCAAAAATAAAACAGATGGAAACTATTAAAAAATAACGATTATCGCCACAATTATATTAACATTTAATTATTTAAGAATTTAAAAATTTAACACTATGGCATGATTTACTATGGTAAATTTTTGTGAATTAATTTTTATTTAATCCTTGAACATATTAAAAAATGCACTTTTTTTGTAACATAAAGACAATAGAATTATAAATTAGAATATCTATGTATAGAATTATATAAATTAGAATATCTATGTAGTATAATAAACATGAAAAATATGCAAATACTTTTATACTTACATGAGATATTTTTCCAGTCATATTTTTACACTCATTCACTATAATGTTAACTAATATTTAAGCTAAATTAGAAAAAAAAAAAAAAAAAAAAAAAAAAAAAAAAAAAAAAAAGAGGAATGTATTTATTTGCATATTTAAATATGTATACAACTGAAATAAAATAATGCTTGATAAGTTTTAATTTGGTATTTTAATATTTTACTTAAAAGACACAAAGTAACAAGGTAAAAGAATAATTACCCTTTAATCTGTAACATTTGAATAAGCATACACTGATATTGCACAACAAAAATCAAAGTACAAAAACTTACAACCAAACTACTGTATCCCTTTTTCAGTTCATTAAAAATTAAAATACAGGAGAGTTCCGATATTCTGAAAATCGTTGCAATTTGCATTCAATTATGAATGCAAACAAAATTTCAGTTTTTAGAAAAATTTAATGGCAATTACTTATTACATATATATATGAAAATAAGCTTTTAAAAATACTCTTTTTACAACATATTTTGACTGATGGAATTATATATGTTATTACTGAGATTCAACATTTCATGCCCCCAGCCCAGCACTGTCTTTTTACAAGAAATGCAGATAGTAAGTTCCAGCATTTTTTTCCCCAATATAAATCCCTACTTTTGATTGAATATTCCAATGACTTAATACAATGAATTTATGTGGTTAATTCATTTTAAAATTATGTGGCATATATCAAAAATTTGTTTATAACTCAACTTTTCAGATTTTGTGCTCGAACTTAAATATAACTGACTTGTTCCCATTCCACACAAAAAGCAGATGTATTTACAATGGGACAGGGATATTCTTGAAAACAGCACTTATAAAGATTTTTTTTTTATTTTAAACATGAAAAGCCTTTACGAGAAAAAGGGCTAAATAACGGAAATTTCATTTTAATAAAGCCAATCCTAGCACTTGTTGTAGCTTTATTAATCATATTGCACATGCATAGAACAAAATAGCAGACTTAACATAGGTATTCAGTTTTGAGAAATTAATACTGCTGAATTTTTCTCTTGTTCAAGAGCACAAACATCACTTTGAAAGTAATTTTGTTGATGAATACATTTTTTTTTCGTATAAATTCTTTTGCTGCATTTTAGAAAAAGGCATCCGTTATTTTTTCAAAAGAATTCCCTATTTCATAATTCCACTATTTTCCTCTTGCATTAATATCTTCTTTGCATATAATTATATTTTAAAATATAATTTTTATTTAATAAATCTTGATTAAATAATCCTTAAAGTGCATTTTGGTTAGTCCTTTATATGCAAGCTATTCAGGCTAAAAATAAAAATTATGAAGGGATAAATCTAAACAAAACTCAAAAAGCCAAGATCTATAATCTGCATAAATATGGGCCAAAAGATGTGTGGATTACTGATTTGGTTAGATTACTTGAATATGGCAAAGCACATAAGGGCCATCTGCTCAAAGATGGAGATTACTGCATGGAATATTCTTTAAGGGAAACTATGTTTTCTAAAGTGTTCATGCTACATATAGGAAACCAATGAAAAGTAACCATGCAGGCAAAACAGTGCTTTAACCTGCACTTTACCTGGGTTTAAACCCAAGTCAAAATACTAGTATTCAACAGTCTTAACATCCAGTCACTGGTAGTAATCCTTTTGTGGTTGTTTAAAAAAATGGGGGGGGGGTCATACTTCATACGATTTGAGGACAACGAAAGACACAAAATGTTCAGTCCATTAAAGTTCCCCTGTATGCTGCAAGAAATTTTCCTTGATAACATTTTTCTTCTTTCTGCAATGCTTACTTACCATGCTCAAATAAAAAGCTTTTTTTCCAACTATGATAAAACTAATTATTTTATAATTATAATTAATTCACAAAAATACTGAAAATTAAGTTTAATCTTAGTATCAATATATGATCCATTTTGCATGAAAAAATAAGACTGACAATTTAAAATGATTTCAAAATAAACCCTTATTTACAACCATAATTATCAACCTTTGCATCATAAAAACATATATAACCATACCTCTGTATTTGTGATTTACAGTAGCTTAAAATAATTTTTTAATGAATGAAAAGGTTTATAAGTGTGCCAAGTGAAACTGGATCTTGACATGATGAAATAAATACAGTTGCCTAAATATACCCAGTATTGTCTTTTAATGGCATTCAAGAGCATGAATAAAACTATGCATAAGTCTGTTAATGTCAGCAGTTTCAATTAGTATTCCGAAGCTTATGTAGTAGTGGTTTTAAGTGGTTTTTAATCCTTTTGTTACCTTTTGTAACTGCATGTGATGTTATTTAATAAAGAAATGCTGTCCCCCCCTTTTTTTAAGGTGCAAACTTGAATATCAGAATCCTTTATATTCATGTATATAAGAGTCAGAGAACAAAATGGCTCTAATAAAGCAAACACATCCTTTATTATTTCTTTATATAATATTGACAAGTGTTAATGCCTAAAATTGACAATACACACATGTTGCAAGACTATTGTTCATTGTTAATTCAGCCTAGATTAGAAATATGGTGAAAAGGCTAGTTACATGGATGTTTTCATGTTTTTTTCTCATGCAAAATATAAATAGAAGCCAAATTCTGTTATAAAGTTTTTCATGAAAATATCCCTTCTCTTAAGTAGATAACATTCTTTTGCTTTGCTATATTCAGTTCAGCATGAATAGTGTTTTCATAGAGCATTTTGTATCATCTGCAATAGATTTTGGAGTACTTGTTGATTTACCAGCAACCATTGATTTATTGACAAGTCTGGTAGTATTTATTGCCAAATAGTAAAGCCAACCCAAAAATGTGACTGAAAACAGTGATAAGAAGTATGAAATAGTTTTTTTTTTTATTTGTAAAAAAACCATTCATTCTTTTTGTGCTCAAAATTACAATAATTTTCAATTTACCATCAAGTGAAAATCAAGCTGTTGCATTCTTTCAAGAAAGAAACCAAAAGGTATTGACCTGGGAATGCATTGTTTACAGATGTAAAGGCATTTTTGTACTGGATTTAAATTTACTTAATATTCCTTATTTTTCTAATAATTAACCTTAGTAGGATACCTTTGATGGATGTGCAGTAGCAGAAATGCAAAAGAGCCCAGTATCATTATAAGCATGATTAAAAGCAACAGCACTGTTCAGTGGATACCTAAACAATAAAGCAGATAATTACAATATATAAATAATAAATAATATAATAATAATAATAATTGCAATATATAATGAAACATTGAAGAATTAAATATAAATAAACTATGTGGTAATTAGAACTTTAATGCTGCTTTTTTTCATTAAAACAATAAAACCTGTAAAAATTTTCACAAGTAAAATATCAATTGAAAAATAGCATACATTAACTTTGATCAGAGTATATCAGAAGAATTTTCTGTTGTTCACAACCATATACCTAAGCCTTTACATAAATGGAAATAGTTCTATTAATATGAGGAGTGTTATTACTGCATGTTGCTTTGTTCTTACTATCAATAATATATTGCTTTAACACAGCTACAGCTATGAAAATAACAGACACAAAATTGGGAATTTTGTCAATATTGAAGTATTATTTTAAGTTGAGCCCTAAAACAATAGAAACTGCTTACAAAATTAATGAAGTGGAAAGATAAAAACCAAGATCAGATGGTTTATTACTGGGAATTGATCTCTTCAAATTAAGATTGGAAATGATGAGCTATCTTTGTTAATTATGAAGTTTTAAAACAGATGCACAGATGTACTTGATCACCAGTATCCAAAAATTTGCAGATGACCATAGAGGTTTAAGAATATCATATGTAAAAAATTACACAAATTTGAAAAACACAGAGAAGTTTTAGAGAATTTTCTATGTTCTCCCCAGAGAACAAAAGGAATTCTGCAAAATGTTTCCTGATAAGAATAAGGATCATCAGCCTTTTCAGATATGTAGCATAATGCAATAAAAATTGAATTTATAGACAATAAGAAAATCATTTCAGTACAAAAAAGATTTAAAAAGACATTTATAAATTATGTTTTGGGAAATTCTGAAAAATTCCCTTTAAAAAACTGCCAGATGGTTTATGCATTAATTCTTGATTTATACTATTAATGGGTTTAAAGAAAGTATACTTCTTTGCATGAAAAATGTTGCATTTGATCAACAGAACAAGCTTTTCTCCAAAGTGACAGCATTTGCCCTCATCTAGATGCAACATACTGTGAAATTTTTGTATCAAAGGTCAAAGAATTACTACCAAAGAAGTGAAACATAAATGCATCATGATAGGGAAAACTATTGAATTATTTTGACGTCAGAGATGCTTTTGATTACTCTAAACATACTTGAAATTTTGTGAAAACTTTTTATACTACAGCTTTATTAATTTACTGCATTCCTTTTTTTTAAATCAGTACAAAGTGAAAATAAATGACAATAACCCCAGGTATAATTACATACAGCATACACTCACTTTCATAATGTATTGTGCTTCAAATTTACTTTTACTGATGCTTATCTATAATGTGATATTAAAAAGCAATTTTTCAATAGTAAATGGACTGTTATTTTATTATTCATATATCTATGAAGCAAATAAAAGTTTTAAAAATTAAAGGAAAAAAACACTAACCTATTTAAAACATTCGTATACAGTCGTGAATACATTCCTTTGCCAGGACCTCCTGCCGAAAAAGATGTACCACCTCCCATAATCATGTTAAGTACACAGAAAGGAATATAATCTGAACTTTTATGAGAACAGCTTTCAAATCCTAAGGCAAAATAGGCAAGTTCAGACATTGGAGTTGGTCCTAAATAAAGACTTAAATCCTTTTCCCTCTATATCCAAAAGAAAAAAATAAAAAATAAAAAATCATTTGTTAATACAGTATTAAAACAAAATATCATTTCTGCATAAGATATATAAAATATGATATTACATTTTCTTAATTGCAACAGCCTTGCAAATCTATATAAAAATCAACAGTTGCATTCACCACAAATTAAAGAAATTTATTCATAGCAAATATATTACTAAAATATAAAAAAAATTTAAATATTATAAAAAATTTTTCTTTTTAAACTGCTCTGAAGCTTTTATAGATTGTTTAAATTCAAAAGCGTATACTTTGTCTTAAAGCAAAACTCCAAGGCCATGTAGTGAACAAAGACAATGTTTTGCCAAGTTTAACACTTTCAAAGATGCTTAAATGATAAAGACGAGCTCTGAATGTCAGAAGATAGTAAACACAGCTATTCAAATATATTTGTGAAAGTTTCTTAATAGAAACTTTCACAAATGCTTGGATGCATTGGGGTGCTTCTGTGTAAGGAGCACTTGGGATGCTTCTGTGTAAGGAGGGAGTCATGGTTCCACACAAAGCAACATTTTTTATGCGAAACTTCTCTGGGGTATCCACATGACTCATGCAATATTGAAAGCAAGAACTGTCTGCATGCAACTAATGCAATTGATTTCCAGAAACAGTCATCCATCTCTCAAGAATAAACTCCTACTGTATTCAAGCACCATCTGCCCCAACCTCACTTATGTTGTACCCAAGCACTAATCTTAAAAAAATTCAAGTATTTCAGAGTGTAATACTTTGGATCCTCTCAAATGCTCCCTGGTACATTTAAAATGAAATGCTCCATTCCGACTTCAAAATTCAACCCCTAGATTGCAGATAGATAAGCATGTCTTACATTCTGTTCCCACTTACGATTTAACAGAACCAAGCTCTGCCAAGTGACTCAGGACTGTCATGAGCAGATCCTTTAACATCTTCCCCAGGAAGCCGAGATTTGTTTGCCTAATTAGGGTTACTATCAAACTACCAGCACTTCACTGGCATAACCTAGCAATCTCCTAATTCCTTTTCCTTCTGCTAGACCTAATCTAGCCAATTTCTCTGTATAACCTCCCATTCTACTAATAGGATTTATCTTGACCCTTAACACATTTTATTTCTAACTATTTGTCAAAGAGTTTTACAGTTCTGTCCCATGTTTTGTATAAAGCTGGGTAGAGAATGTGGGGTTTGCACCACCTTGGATGAGGTCTCTGGACCTTGAATAATTCAACCTTTGATATGGCAAGCCCCTTGAGGTTCCTGAGACAGGGGTCCAAGATCTAGTGCTCAGATCCTTTACACGGTACAAAATCCGAAATCCGGACGTCCATTATCCAGAATGATCTAAAATCCCGACCTCAAAGCCACAAACAATTTTTTTTTTTTCCCATAATAAAATGTGTGATTTTCACTTAAAAATTCCGATGCTTAATTTCACTTAAACACTAAATAAAAGACCTCGTTATGGAAAAACAATCATGTAAGCATAAATTTTGTGAGATTAATAATTTGGCTCTGTAGTTGAGTATCTGTTTGGCTATATCTCAAACCAAACATTCACCTATTTTATATCTCTGACACCAACCTGGCAAGTCATTATTTATTATATTTTATTTTCATCACCGTATATTTATCAATACATGACAGCTTCAGTAATAACTCATGCAGTGTTGTCTAAACTTTTTTTTTATATATATTAGTAATTGAATAACAAGAGTAAGGCAACATTTTGTGCTAACATTACACTTGGCGATGATTATAGATTTTTAAATGCTCTAAGAAATGTTGACAAAGAAAAATTCAACCAAAATTTCTTTTCATATGCTAAAAATAGATTTTGTTAATGAAATTCATAGGCCAAAAGATTACATTTGGTGCTATTTTAATTAAGAATAACTGATATTCACCATAAACCCAGAAGCGGTGGCAGAATATGTCGGCACCGGATGGCAGAATTTTGGGGAGACGAAATTTTTGGAATTTGGGTAGGCAACGAGCAGCAAAATTAAGGGATGAAAAGTTTTTTATGATTTAGGGAAAGCACCTGGGATCCAAAGTTTAGGCACAGTGAAAATTTAGAACTTAGGAAGGTGCTTTGTAGCAGAATTTAGGACCCATCGAGTCTGCACCAGGCGGAATCTAGTGCCAGCCCTAGATAAGGCCTTAAGCATATGTGGGAGTTTATTTATTCAAGACTCAGATTAGTTTTAAGCATGTGCAAGAAATAGACGTAGGTATAGTAAATAACTAAACTAATACAATTCATTATGCAGTAGGAGCAAGAAAAAATTTAGCGAAACACCTTGGCTTTCATCGCCAATCTTGTGACACACAGCCAATAATTTATAACGGATGCTATTAAGCTAGGTTAAAATTATCTTTACTGATTCTAAGACATTTCAGTTAACGTACCAGACTGTGCTGCTCCCTAATCTTCTAATTTGATCCAGGTTATTATTTTTTGCAGACTGTTATTTTTATGGCAATTTTATAAAAATTTAACTTGAACTTTCGATTATGTCGAAAAGAGTTTCCCATTCTGGGGCTGCCCAAGGATCTACAAAGCGAAAACATGTTTCAATGTCCATTAAAAAAAAAAGTGGAATTGCTGCCAAAAATGGATAAAAGCATATCCGTCTCAAAATTATGCGAGGAGTATGGCATTAGAAAATCGACTGTATTTAACATAAGAAAAAAGAAAAAGGAACTTTTTGAATTTTTTGTGGAAGTAACTTAAACAACTTACATTGAAAGAAATGTTTAATAAAGTAAACAAATAAATATTGAGCTTTTTTTTTTGTAAATTTTTGATACCCTTTAGATCATAATTATTCTTTATTTCATAAATTACAATTTGATATTTTTAATTGTATAATTTCTGCATGTCATCTTACCAGATTTAAATTGATGACATAATATCTGGAAAAATCCCAAATCCGGAATCGCTAAAGCCCTTACGAGTCTGGATTTCAGACTTTATAAATTAGCTGTACATTAGAACTTAAACTAGAAACTGATAGTCGTAAACGTAAATTTTTTTTTGAAAATGATGGGTTATTGATTAGACAGGATGCTGTTTATTATTAATACACCTCAGTATAAATATTATTATAACTAATATGCATTTTACTGTTAAAATTTGCTCCTATAACAAAACACAAATTTTTATTTCATACATGTTTACTAGTAACATAGACCAGTTTCTTTTTACCTTTACTATACCTCCAGTATACTGTGCAAGAGAATTATCCACTGGTATTTCTTTTTCTAAAGCTAAATTTTCAGTCTCCCAAATAGGAGGCTTTTCCACAAAATGCCTGAAAAGTTTCAAAAGAATTTATTTACAAACTTCAATTTAATATTATTAGGATATAAAATTTATGGCAGCTATGTTTAAATTGAAATATATGATACATATGAAATACACATTTATTCTTTCTAAACAAAGTTCATTAAAAATTAATGCATACATATACAGTAAAATTTATCAATTAAGTGCATTTGAACCTAAATGTAGAATTTTTAGATAAATACCCTATTTCTTTCATTCCAAGCTTCTTGCACCCTATGTACACATTCTTATGAACAGGGTTTGTATGAGAATCAAAGATTATTTTCAGAGTACACATACTCAAATTTATTTCTTCCCATACAACACTTTAATCATTCCAATTACATTCTACAAAAATGGAAATTCCAGGTTCCCTCTACAAACCATTTAAAGACCGTCAAAAGTCATAATCCCGCCCAACCAGGATAGTGCTGACTTTCAAAGGGCCCAGGTTCAAATTCCAGAGAAAGCATGGATGCTTGTACATGTATAGCATTTGTACTGCATGGAGGCACTCCAGCAATAAGATGTAACAAGTCAAAAGTCCTCTCTTGAGGTTGGTGGTAGGGTAAGAGATGTGGGAAACTCTCAGAACTCCCCCCCCCAGGTTGATCTCTATTAAAATTGGATTCTAATGTTGCAGTCAGACGATAAGTCACAACAAAGTCATGATTCATGGTTCTGTTCTCAAGTAATTAATGATTAATTGAGAAAAGAATCATGACTTTTGACTGCCAAATAGAAGCTTCCAGAAAAATAAATAAAGAACTAACGTAAAACTGCCAAAATCAGCAGCTTAATTAAAGAAAGAACAGTGCAGCATTAATTTTTAAAATGCTGTATCATGTATGTTGACAATGACCCGGAAAACAGTACACTATTAGGAAATGATGGTAAAAACGTCTTAAAATAACAGGTTTTTTAAACGTCATTTTCTAAAAATATTTTTTAGTTATGCTTTAATGCTTTATTTATTTTAATTTTTATAGAATCAAAAAATTTTTCTGATAGTATTACTGAAATTAAGACCTGTTTATCACTGAAGAAAATTAAATATTTTTAAAGGCATTTACAAAAAACTGGAGAAATTTTAACTCCCAACTTAATATTCAATTCTACAGATTAAAAATTAGCAAGTTTTATAACTAACTTCAACACAAATGTAACAAAATTAAACATATTACAAAATGTTTACCTTTGACAAGATTGAACAAGAGCATCATGATCAATTCCAACACCAGCAATAACCATTCGAGAAGGTATAAAATAATGTTTCAAATATGTATACAAAACAGTTCTGTCAACATGAAATACTTTTTCAGCTGGGCACAGTTTTGGGAGACCTACTGTATTTTTCTCAAATGCAGCCTAATTTAAGAAAAAGATTTTTTAAATTTTGAGATGTAAGTTTTAAACATAATTTAAAAACAAAAAGGAAGCTAATCGCAAATTTGAGAAAGGTTTTCTTTTCCTACCACTAACCAATTTTTCTACCAATAACGAAAGTTAATTTAATTAATTATCTGATACCAAATTAATAATACAGAAAATGAGATCATTACAACTATAATATCCTATCAAACATCTAAATGAATCTAATAAATAAAAGTCTAGACATCACTCAGTATAGTCATCTAATAAAGAAAAAAGTCTAAACTAATTCTTAAAAAATAAATAATAATAAATAAATAAATAAATAAAAGATAATTTTTTTAGCTTTAATTTTAAAGAAACACAAAATTCAGTGCCCTCTTAGATTTTTTTTTTTGAGGGGGGGGGGCATATCTTAAAGCTTTGATCAATATTTTTGACAAATTAGTTCATCTAATACTTTCACAATGAGATACTTTAAAAACACATCTATTAAAATTAATAAAATTATGGGTTATGAATCTTAAATAAAACTGAAGTGGCTAATATCAGTTAATGTTGGAATATGTTTAAGTAATCAAAACCTACTTCACAAATGAAAAGCAGAAATGATCTAAGTTTTACATAAAAATAAGCTAATAGCATCATATAGAAAAAGGATAATTTCTTTATATGTATGGATCTATAGAAATAAATTTATTAGATATGACAAAAAAGCTTTTATGATAAATAAGAACCGAAAACAGATTTTACTATAAAGAATAAATGCATTTCTAATTTCTTACAGCATGAATCATCTCTGTTAAAAGAGGTTCTTGATCTTGGCTCATTTCCAAATCTTCTAATTCAAATTGTACTGTTTGATGAGCTCTGTCAATCTAATAATGAAAAGATTTTAGCAAAATAAATTATTTAAAATGGGGGAAAAAATTCTTGCAAGTTTAAATGTCTTAAACAAAATTATGTAACACATAAGCAGCATATAATCAGAATAAAGACTAACTGTTCTTTCAAAGTTTTCGTCATAAACTAAAAATTCAGAAGAATTAAAAATAAAATGGGGCCAAACTGCCTAAAACCATATTTCCTACATACCAGTACCCAGAGAGTAAAAAAACTAAAAACTCTAGGCAAGCATGCAAAAAGAAAAAAAAATTAAAATTAAATTCCTCTCACTCCTGGATCTCCTAGCATCATCTACTAAGGAAAAGAAATACTTCAGCCAGATTCCTAACAGTTAGCTCACAGAAATACTTCAACTGAGATGTTGGAAAGAATAAGAAGAATTTTTTCTACGTCAGAAGATTAAAACCTCATGTTGAGGAAAATGTCAAAAAATCAACCAAGAAAGAAATAAGCATAAATCATATTATGACTGTCATACAAAAACATTAATATCATTATGCAAAAATAATGCTGGGGTATATCAAGATAATAAATGGAAATCAGCAATTATAGAAGAAGTATTCAAGATGCCAGATCATGCATACTAAGATCAGGAAGAACAAACAGTATTTAGAAGAAATAGAAAAAATATTATGAAGAAAAGAGTTCAACTTTTGAACAGAATGGAACAGGACTAGAAGTAAACAATCTGCAACTGGGAAAGTTTGAATTATCCACAGAACAACAGTGTAAATAATGATATAAGGAGAATGGATACAACTTACTAAACAACTTCAACATATAAATACAGAATAATATCACATCTTATATCCGTAAAATAATATCATTCTCAACATCATATTTAGTATAATGATGTTTTAGTATTAAATGTCAAATTTTGATCAGACAAAAATCTGTAAAGGAGTGATTTAAAAATTATGTTAACAAATCTTAAATCTAATATGAATTAGCATTCTGCTGATATTATCTACTGAATAATATTAAAATATTAATACTGCATTATTAGTAGCATTATTTTACTATATGCTTATTTAATTGTATCACAATGAAATCAAAATATTACATCATTTATATTTTGCATTAGTAAGTCTCCCCTTGAGTCAAATATATATAAATGTTAAACAAATTGTTTTTAATATGAATAATTAATTAATTAATTACTATTACATAACATTAATTAAAGAAATACATACATACTTAGCTACTTTCTGATCACTCGCACTTCGAGCGAAAAATCACAAAAGATTGTTGTTGTGACAACCCATGATATTGCGAATAAGTATTTATGTGGCAATCCAATTTTGCACACAGCACACATGTATTTTAATACACATGGATTTCCATTTTTGAAATTCAATGGTCAGTTTCTTGTTTGCAATTTTTTTTGGGGGGGGATTGAATATTTCCTCCCCACACACACACACAATGAATAACATGACTGCGGAGTTTGCCAACTGATGAAAAAGAAGGCTTCAGAAATATGGCATTTCACCCAACAACAGAGAATGCAAAAATTCCCATTCTATGAAGCTATACGGAATTTTATGGAAATGGAATGTAGAAAATCGTAAAAAAACATTAGAATGCAGGTTAGAAACTGGTTCAAATCAAAGAAAGACATATCTCCCTTACAACAGCAGTTTGCTTTATTTATTGTTGGTCAAAGGAATACATGTTAGGGAATTTTTTTTTTTCAGTAACCCCAAACAGAATTATTGATTGTGTAACTATCTCCAAGAAGTGTGTGCCTTTTATGGAAAAAGAAGAACATTAAAAATAGGCAGTAATGGATGCATCGTTGAAAGAGATGCTAGGCTACTCAAACAAAAGCTACATTAAAGCTGAATTTGGAAATGCTCTCCAAAATTGGCAGCAAGATCATGGCTTTACAATGGAGGATGCAGACAATTAGAAATTTACATACAAAAGTTGTAGAGGGTCATTAACCCCTTGAGGACCAGCGCGCCGGAAATAAAACTCAGTCACGGGAACGAACGCTATGAAACGGAGCGTCACTACCGGCCCGCGCATTTTAAGCAGTTAAGCCTAAGTTTACAAAAAAATTCGTATAAAATCAGCATTTTAATAAAAAGACTCCAAATTTATAAATTATATATATACTATACTTCTATTTAATATGTATTAAAATAAAAAATATAACGTTAATACAAAAATGAATGAAATATGCAAAAAACTAAAATTATACTATGCACATGAAAACAAAATACTATACACAATAAAACAAAAGCTGCAAATATTACAAACACAAAAAAAAAAAAGAGGAAATTAAGAATAATAATATATTCTGAATAAAATCGAAATTTAAAAATTCTGCTGTGTGTGATATAGTTTCAAAACAAGGATCCACACAGAGTCCAACATTGCATATTTTGCACTCATAATATGATGTTTGTTTTCGATTTTTTTTAGCACATACGACACATCTTCTTCTACTTTTATTTCCTTTCCCATCAATATAAATTTTTGGAAAATGTCTACCAGTTAGACGAAATGGTTGAATGCCCGGTAATTTTGAACAAGTTTTTGAGCTCCTTGGTTTAGCGAATTTTCCTATTATTTGATGAATAACTCTGGATCTGAATTCCAAAGCAGATATTTTCTCGCCTTTTACCTTCAACTATATTACATTTGCATTTAGAAGTGCCATATCTAACAAACCAAAAAACAGCTTTTTATACCATTTTACGGTTTTTCTAAATGCTGGATAGTGATGAATAATAGAATCGCCAATGTCAACACCCCCCATATTGTGATTATACTCCACAACGCAGAGTGGCTTCAAAATGTCCTTTCCAGTCTTTCGGTCTTTTTTACCAATTGGCACAATAACGCCGTCATGTATAGTTGATAACATCAGCACTTTTTTCTTTTTGTCATTAAATGCAAATAAATTCACTGAATTTTCCGATCACATATCCCTAAACTTCTACGAAACACACACATAAAAAAAAAAAAACAGCGCCAAAACCGAACATAAATATTTTACTCTTACCCGTTGCTAATCCACTGAATGTACTCCCCCATATTCTCCTAATGAAAAAAACAAAGCAATAAACAAGTCACTTGAACTCACACGTGCCCTTTCAAACACCCGTGTTTCCCAGTTTGTTTATATTAACTAGAAGAAATTCTTTCTTCCATTTCACTATTTGATTAATTCATGTATTTTGAAATCTCGCTCTGTCAAACCTCAAAAGACAAACGCAATTCTACTCCAACATTTCAACTAATAAACGTTCCATAAATTTCCACAATCTGTCAAAATATAAACACAGCGAGCAATAAATCCCAGCCCTTTAAAGAGCCGTGATTCTCACTTTGTTTACATCAATAAATATATCAAATACAGAAGCATAGAACAGAAACCAATGCCTGTTCATGAAGGTCAAATACTATATGAGTCGACCGTTGTGAAAACCGTTGCCGTTTAACGCCATCTAGTAGCATTTAAAAATTCAAATAAAACGTTCCGATTTCCGATTACGCACACGCGACGCTGGTCTCTCCATATCAATCGGAGCTCTTCGCGTGGAAGCGACGCTGGGCTGATAAGAGTGGAATCGCTGCGTCGCGTCCACGCGACCTTGGTCACGAACGGGTTAAACAAAAAAGTTCAAAGTGGAAAATGGGAAAGCTAATAATTTTAGAAACATTTTAAAAGAATTCAGCAGATTAAAAGGGTAATCAGTAAATATACTTATGTTACTGTAATATTTAATTTCAAACATATCAGTAACATTTACAGTTTTCATTTCCATTTATTTGTACATTGTATGTTTCTACCCATATTCAACTACATATAAATATTGGACTACAGATAAAAACAAAATATTTTGCTCAGTTACCATAGGTGAAATTTTTAGACTGTTATTGCTGATAGAGGCAATAAAATTTAAAAGATATAAAGAAGAAGAAAGAGAATATTTTCTTATTTAAGGTGAAGCATAATTTCTAGATCACATATAATAATAAAATTTAAAAAAAAAAAAAAAAAAACATAAAATAGATAAGTAAATGTGTTTTCTGAGCATAATAATTTGTATTTTTTTAACACGTGAGAAACTATAAATTATTTTATGGCATTCAAAAAATTTTATGAATCATGATAGTATTTGAAATTTGAAAACATTACTCCATTTTTTTTTAATTCTCACCTCTTCAGAAGACAACTTCGGCCTTAAAACTGCTTCAGATAGAAGTTTTACTACAGGATCCAAACTTTTGCAGTTTGCTATGGCTCCATAGATCAAAGAATCTCTGGAAACGAGGGAGGAAAGAAAGAAATTAGATCAATCTATCAAAAATTATTAAATAAATAAGCAAATACGGTTCAACAAAAACAAAATTTATTTATAAAAAAACTGGTACTTGCATATTGTTCTGTCAACTATGAAAGCTGGCAGAAACTATGGAAGCTGGCAGAGACTCTGCAAAAGTTGTGCTCATTGTTTCTACAGAATTTTGAAGGAACGGATGTCTTTTTTATTTAATTAACAATCAGTATTCAACCTGCTTTGTTTTTAGATTCTACTATTTTGTTAGACACTCTGATTTTACCAGAAGCTCTGTTTAAAATGGTTTGAGTACAAACTTCCCACATGCAGTTTTCTAATCAAGTACTGTTTTGTTGGCCATATTCAGTTGATCATATCACTAATATACACTTTTTTGACACGACTGAAATATTAGGTAGAAAATGATTCACCGTTTGCTGTTTCATAAAGGCATATCCCAAATTTTAATCACTTTTTTCAATATGCAAGGAAAACTACGGCAATAACAATTTTATATCTTTGCTTTAAAAAAAAAAAAAAAAAAAAAAAGAAAGATGACTTAAGAGATATTATTCAAACAATACTTTTAATGTATGCAACACTGCATTTCTTTGAAAAATAAAACTATTAAATATATATATATACATTTAAAATATCCATACATTTACTTTTTAGGTGAAAAACATTCAAATTAATTTTAAATTCATATCATGTGGAATGAATTCTGTAATAATTTTAACACGTGTATGATTCAAACAGTATTATTTCTTAAACTGAAAGGTAAAAGTATGGGTGCTTTAAATAAAAGTTAGGAAAATTTTCAATTATCATATATTTTAAACAAAGCAATTCACTTCAAGATATAAAAATTTGCACTCACAATGCTAAAATTTGTGTTCGAAGTACATGTAGTATTTTAGTGCATATAGTATTATATTAAATGTCTTGTAAGAGACATGATGGTACACAGGATGGGAGATCTCTTAGTGTAATTTTTCGAAAACAGAAATTAGTTTCAAATGATTCACATTTTTAGATGTGTCATATAGCATACACCAAAGGACCATGCAGATGTTATGAATGTGTTATGTCACACTTATCCATCAGTGGTGCTAAATATCACTCAGGGTTCGTACCATTTCTGCACATGGAAATTAAGTACTTTTAAGGACTTTTAAGGACCATTAATGAAAAAAATTAAGGACCTATGAGCAAATGGAAACTGAATAAATTCAATTAAAAATATTATTCTGTGCCTGAATTTCACTTGTATAATACCATCCTAAAAATAAAATAGATCCCTAAGTAGTATGCATTATTACTAAACATGAATTAACTAACATAATTATTAATAAGTTTGAGAATAAAATAAATTTCATGCAGTTTATTAAGTAGCATTAAATAATTTACACTTATAATAGTTGGACATATTTAAAAGAAGATAAGTGACATTTACATTTTACTAATAGTTAGCTTTATGCTTTTTTTTTTTAATGTCTAATTTTGTCACATACTTGGTCAGTCTAGAGGTTTAGCAAATAGTAGGGATATTTTATGTCAAACAGCATAGGTTAAAATGAGAAGTGAGATCATAATTAGCATGATTCATAACAAAAGACTGAATGTTGTCCCTCTGCTGCTTATCTATACAGAGACCTGCTGATTGGAACAAACCTGAAAGGCCTGATGTAGGCACAGTTGGCAAGTGTTGAAGTTAGTCAAGCTCTGCTTAATGCAGTTAATGTCATAGCTTTGTGTACAGTTCCAGAGGTTGTAACCCAGCTAATATACATTAAGGTTCCAATAAGCCATTAAAGCGACAAAGGTGATAAGTTGTTTTATATATAAGTCTCAGTAGATGCAAAGAATAAGTTTTATTTGATGATGTTGATGGCTATTTGATGAGTGATGGTTACTTGATGGGTTCTCCACACAAAGGATTTGGCGATTGGATTCCCTAAAAAAACCAGTTGCTGTTTAAAAGAGGAAGTGTATAAGGTATTTTTCCCACCTTCTTGGCGACCCTTCGTGGTGTAGTGGTTTGCACACAGGTAGCGGTATTCCAGAGGTCCGCGGTTCGATTCCCGGTGAAGGCATTGTTAATTTTTTATCTTTCCTGCTTTCAAAAATACCTAATGTCTCTACAAGTCTTCCCAAACATTTTGGCTAGTTTATATCGATTTTCTTCTCTTTAATTATCGATCTTTTCTGACAATAATTGGAAATTTGTCTCAATATGCAAACCAATGTTCTCGCTAGTTTCTGTGTGCTTTATCTCCTAACTTGTCAACCTCTCCACAATGTATATATGAGGGTTTACTTGATCTGGTAACAGTTAAATAGTCCCTCCCCCGATAGACGTGAAGCAAATTATCACTGTATCTGAAAGTAAACTACAATATCAGACAAAGAACTTAGAACATAAAGGCATGTTCTGATGTTAACAAAGTCAATTACAGCTCACAGTGACGTAATTAAACAAGAACAGTCAAATTCAAACTAAAAATGTGAAATAGTGGTCAAAGATAATACAATTTAATTTTAATTTAATCTGGCTTAGTAACTCTATCATATGAGGAAACAGAAATAGGAAATTATAGTAAAGGCTGAAATGATAAAAAATTGGGTAATTTACATAATAATAACTGCACATATCTTTGAAGAATAATATTCTTTATGTATTCAGTTTCTTTCTTCAACGTGTTTTCTTTTAATTTTAGAATTTTTGGATTTAATTAAGGATTTCTGTTATTCTAAAAAACACTAAATGCATTTAGAATGTACAGAAAAAGTGGCTAATTTAATTTTTTAGTAATATGAACATTCAGAAGAAATATGAAATATATATGGTAAAAGCCGGTTACAGAGCAGGTGTGGCAGAATTTTTACAATTTAGTGACATACAGAACAACAAAATCTAGAAATGGCAAAATTTTTAGAATTTAGAGTAGGCATTGGAAGCAGAATTAAATAGGCACTAGGCAGCAGAATTTAGGATACACAGAGATTGCATCAGGTGGGAAAATGCATAGCACTAGCTCTGTGTACGATGCATTTAGACACATTAGATTAATCTTTTAAATTGTAAGTTTTCAATTTCTTTATTAATAAAAAAATCTCTTTCTATAATGCCTGCCCAAGTGATAAGTTTAAAAGCAGTTTTGATATTTTCCATGCTTTTGTCTAGTGAAAAGTAGAGAAAATAAAGGGAAGATAAACATGTTAAGAAAAAAAAGATTCTAGTATCAGGAGTAAAACATTCAAATATTATGTTTCCATTGTTCTTGCAGACGTTCTTCAAAAAGTAAGAAATTCATCACAAACTTTCTGTAAAATGCATCCATTATGTGTTGATATGTTGATAACATGGAGACATTTTTCATTTTTTCACATATTTCTCGAATCTTCTAGAATCGTGGGTCTATAAATCTTGCCTTCAAATCCTTCTAAACTTCCCATGCTGCAATGTCAAAAATACTAAAGAAAAATTATCCCAATCAATTCTGTAACGGCAAAAAGCCAGAAATATTTTGAAAAAAAAAAAAAAAAAAAAAAAAAAAGGTAAGAAAAAAAGTGTAAAATTAATTTTATACAGAAAACTGATGCATATTCTGAGAATTTTGAATAATCTGAGACAATTACACGGGAAAAATGCCTACTATGAAAAAATTAAAAAGAAGTCATTTTAATTAATTACATAACTAATTTTGCTCTTACGAAGAGTTGTTTCGTAAATTATGCTTCATAGCTATATACCTTGTTTAATTTTCAGATTTAAAATATTGTATAATAAGTTGCCAAAATGAAACTTTATAATATGACAGCGAAAAATAAAATGTTTTATTTTAATGTTATTTTTTAAATATAATTGTAATATATTATCATTATTTTAATGAAATTTATCAATGTTATGATGTTTTAAAAAAAAATCGCCGAAAAATTATCAGATCTCGGAATTAAAAATTTTCTATAGAAACTGATCTTAAAATCGCCAAAATGTTGACAAGCTGTCAAATTTAGAACCATTTAATAAAAGAATTCACAATCCCAAAAGCGAAAAGTTGTTTAAGAGCTCTTTATTAGAAAAAAATGAATTTTGAAATGCTTATGTTTCACTTCTTGCTTAGAAACTCGAGTATCCCATCATTTATGTTAGAAATAGAAACAAATTATAACCCATGAACCCATTCAAAAGATAACCATATATGTCAGTGATTTGCCAAAAATATTCCTCCAAAATGCTAATTCACACTCAAAATGGCAGTCGTAAAAACAGAGAGAAATTTCAGATGATTAAATTTAAGGACCTTCTACTGATTTTGGCCAAAATTAAGGACTTTTAAGGACCAAAAATCGATTTAAAAAAAATTAAGGACTTTTAAGGACTCTTAAGGACCGTACGAACCCTGTCACTGCTTGGTGACAGTTTCATAGTCAACAGAAGAATATGTAAGTACCAAAAAAAAATTTTTTTTTTTTTTTTTTACTTACCTAGTACCTCTGCAATAAGATACGCCACCACACTTTTCAAATTCTTGCAGTATAGAATTTTTGTCTTTAAATTCTGCTGTAGACTTGAAATAAATAGGCATAAATAAATATATAAAATCGTTTGAAGTTTGCAAATAACAAATTCAGAATAAAAGGTTTAATTTTATATGATGGTATGCTAAATTATAAAATAAAAATTATTAGATTTCAGAAACTTTTCTTTGAAAAGTTTCGATGCTTTCAGTACAAGCAGTGAGAGGATAAAATAAAAACTATCAGATTTCAGTAGAAGCAAAGTTATCATTTAAAACTCAGATATGAAAATATTTATCTTTAAAATAAGACTCAAAAAACAAATACCTGAAGACAATAGCAATTTTAAACTTTTCTTTGAAAAGTTTGGATGCTTTCAGTATCAGCAGTGAGAGGATAAGGAGGAAAGAATGAATATTGTGGAATTCTGATTATCTATCAAATTCATGGCCATCATGAAAGGCAATAGAAACTTTTACTATTACCACTATCAAGCAAACACAATGAATATTTTTGTATCCTCTTACTTTAAAATTGCAATTTAAGGGGGTATGACACTCCCTCCCTCATTTACTATCAATGCGCATGTAGTTACTACTGCACAGATAGAATTTGGGGTTTTAACAAATTAAGACAATCAACAATCTTCCACAGTAATAATTGCCATGGTTACAAGAAAAGCCATTTGGGGTTAATGATTTTGAAGCACCACTTCTTACGTTACAGGCTAGAATAATATATTAGTGTGCTATAAAAATTCCAACAAATACAGTCAAAAGTCGTTAATTCGGACACCCATAATTCGGAATGATCTATAATCCGGACCTCCAAACTAAAAACTTTCTGCGCATGCGCCGCATTGACACATGCGCATAGGCGTTTACGCGTGCGCCGTAGACCTTTTACGACTGCGCATATGAGTGTGTGCAAGTGCAGAATACGTTTTTGCGTGCGCGTTTTATGTATAATGCACGTATAAGCTAAAATTATCTAATTATCTATTTCAGTTAATGTTGATGATTGCGTTGTGCCTTAATTTTCGAATTGGATCCGGCTTATTATTTTTTGCAGACTGTAAGAGCAATTTTATAAAAGTAAGCTTAAACTTTCGATTATATCAAATAGAATTTCCGATATATATTTGTTAATATGTAAAGGATCTAAAGCGAAAGTATGTTTTGAAATCCGAAATCTGTTTATCAATTTCACGCTGCTCAGCGGGGGGAACGCCGCGGCGGGCGCGTAATGAATTGGAAGTTGATTTGTCAGCACTATCCTTATCTTCAGCGCAGATGTTTTTATTTTATTTGGCTTATAATTCCTTACCAAATGTAGTATTTCATCTCGATATGCTCCGTCTTTGATATGATTTAAAACAAGTTCCTCGTCATTATAATTCGCTTCCGATAGCGAAGAAAAGTGACAGAGGTTATTGAAAACGAAAAAATTTCGATTGACAAATTAGTCGGGTGTTCTCGACACAGCAATTATAGGACTTGAACAGCGGAACTTTGTAACTGAACAAGAAATTATGTCTATTTAATAGAATTAAAGAGAAAGTATCATCACATGAAACGAAGCAAAACTTAAACAACTCACATTGAAAGAAATGTTTAATAAAGTAAACAAATAAATATTAAGCTTTTTCTTTTTGCAAATTTTGATAACCTTTAGATCATAATTATTCTTTATTTCATAAATTACGGTTTCATATTTTTAATTTTAGAATTTCTGCATGCCATCTTACGAGATTTAAACTGATGATCTATAATCCGGAAAAATCGATATTCCGGAATCGCCGAAGCCCCGACGAGTCCGGATTAACTACTTTTGACTGTATCCCTTATGAGAACTAAATACTGAATATTCAACAACAGTCTAATATGATTATCTGGCAAATTAAATGCACACATACATACATACATATACAGTGAAACCTCCTTACAACAATATTTTAGGGACCAAATAAATATATTGTTGTAGAGAGGCATATTGTTATATCCAGGGCCCACATACTTTGAGCATTTAATAAGAGTTTTTTTTTTTTAAATTATTATTAGTTTAAGGTGCATAACATACTACTTTTAAGTCTATATTTAGAAGAAATTAATTTGTAAAATACTAATAATAGTGGTTTAAATAATAATAAAAAAAAAAATAAATAAATAAGATAAATTCAGAAAATAAGCACAGAAATATTCACATACCTGAAAACACTTTTTATTGAAAATAATCCAATATTTTTGTTTGTTTATTGATTTTTTTAACTGTTAAGTTCACCAATACTGTTTGCATTGAGTCTAGTGCACGAAAAATGTTCTTCATTTGTCGACGGAAGGCTTGAAAAAAATGTCCGTAGAGAATTCAAGATTGAAGAGCTTCCTGGGATGACAATAAGGACTGCGATGGACTGTATTATCATCATCATCAATCATCATCATCATATCATCATTTCATCATCATCATTGTTTCCTATCATCAGTAATTTCAGAGAGAATATCTTCATCAGTAACTCCTGCGAAAACCATAAGATCATCATCTGCTGTTAAATAGTCTTCTATACTAATTCCAAACTTTTTACCGCTTGTTTCCTCAAGTTGGGATACGGATTTTTTGATGTGCAAAAACACATTCTTGATCATCTGAGAGATCATTGTCTGTGGAATTTTCATCATTATCAGATTTCTTATCTTCCATAACACAAAGACCGGCCTTTTCCAGCAATTCCGAATGTTTTTTTCTGTTACTTCCCACCAACTTCCAGCAATATTGTCACACGCTTCCTTGACATTTACAGCTTTGAAAGGGTCTTCTACTTTATTTTCAAAGTTTACAAGTATGGAGTCCACCAACCGTTTTCTGTAATATCCTTTGAAGCACTTAATTATGCCCATATCAACAGGCTGTAAAATTGAAGTGCAATTGGCAGGGAAAAAAGCGATTTCGATATTTTATAGCTTTGGAAATGACGTGTGAGCACTGCAGTTATCTATCAACAAAACGATTTTTTTTCTTTCTCTTCTTCATTTCATTGTCTAACTTCTGTAACCATTCGGAAAAAAAATTTAGACGTCATCCAAGCCTTCTTATTTGCTTTATATCCACGGGAAGACTTTTCACGTTCTTAAAGCACCTTGGCTTCAGTGATTTACCAATGACGAGAGGTTGTATTCTATGCGTTCCTGTGCTATTTGTACACAGAAGAACAGTCAGTCTCTGCTTTGATTTCTCCCCTCCATAACACTTTTCACCCTTGAATGCCAATGTTCGATCAGGTAGGAGTTGGAAAAACAGCCCAGCTTCATCTGCATTATAAATGTCTTCTGGAGCATACTTTTCTAAGATTTCTTTCATCTTGTTTTGCCGCCATTCATTTGCGTCATTTATCGGGGCTGACTTTTTCTCTCCGTGAACTTCTTGGAAAGTTATTCCATGACGATCTCGAAAACGCATTAACCAACCATTGCTAGCTTTGAAAGTTTCATTCCCTAGCATTGCTGCAAATTTCCGTGCTTTTGCACATAATAAAGGTCCATTTATTGGGACATTTGTTGCTCTCATCTCTTGAAACCATTTTAACACAGCAGCATCAATGTTTTCATTTGTCGCAACTTTCAGTCGTATTCGCTCTGAGTTAATTTCATTTGAAGTTACAGCATCTTCGATTTGCTTTCTCTTCTTTAGGAACGTTGCAACTGTAGATTGCGATAATCCATGTTTCTTAGCCGCATCAATCTGCTTCATTCCCTCATCAATATCATTGATAACGTTCAGTTTATCTCGAAAAGATAGTTGCTTTCACCCTGCCATCTTAGGGACCAATATTGCGTGAAAGAAAGAAAAGTTTAAACCAAATGTTTCGCGTAGAACTCAAAATCGTTAAAGACTATAAAACAACCTTTGAACTCACTTTTCAGTACGTCACTTAACAACACCCCGCCTCCATCTCCCCCTGTTCCTCTAACAAAGGGCACTTGTTCTGTGACAAAGTGACCAGACAGGTCTAGATGTCCTTAAACCTTATCAGAATTCCAAAGCTTACTGGGAAATGAGACTAGGCATACATTTACACTTCACCCTCCCACCCACTCCAATTCCCAAAAGGGTGGTCTTCACCTGTTTTGAAATCTGAACAATAGCTATTTATTCAGGGATAAGTTGAATATCCACAATGAGTCTTAATAGACGGAAAAATAACAAAAGAAAATGAAAAAAAAAAAAAAAAAAAAAAAAAAATTGAAAATCAAAATATTATTATAAAGGGAGAAAATAATACTGAAATTTAGATTGAAAAAATCGTTTTACAGAGGTTTATTGTTCTAGAGAATATAGCAATATTGAGGGGAGATTAACATTAGTTTATATGCAAAATCACCGGGACCACAAAACATTATTGTAGTAGAGGGAGTTATTGTTGTATCGGGTATCATTGTAGCGAGAATTTACTGTATATATTAACCATTTTTTTTAAACTTTATTGAATTGCTAATACTTTAAAATAGCATTGCAAAATATTTTCTATTTAGGTAAAAAAAATTTCAAAATAAATGGCAAATTTTAAGCTTCAAATCTTTCATGTTCAGGGATTATGTATTTTTTCCCTTTTCAGATTTCATGAAATTATGATACAAAAATAGTAATACCAGCATTTTTTAACAAAATTTTGTTGTGCCACATTGCATAAGGTTTATCAGGTTTTGGAGAAAGACTTTCAAGTATATGCAAAATTATTTCTTTACTATTTCAGCACATTGGGACCATTCATTTTTCACCAACTGAATAATAATAATGATGCTTCTCCTTCTATACCTAAACCAGATTGGTACTTCTTAAATTATCAAACAAATGCTAATTAGGATATAATAACAATTAGGATATAATAACATGTCAAACAAATATTAATTTAGAAGTCAAACAGCAAAAATCAGCGTTATATTTTCAAATTTACACAGGACTAGTTTCGATGGTTTTACTGAACCATCATCCTCAGCTGAAAAAGCACAAATGAATGAGATAAGATATAATGATTAGATAAGATAAGAAAGCCTGGACAGGAGATAAGGTACTGGCGCCAGTAGAATGAAGCTAGAACTAAAACATAATTTCTTTAAAGGCTGAAGGCAAACATGGATTGGAATTAGGGTCGTTAACTAGAACAGAAAGATTTTTTTGAATGTGAAATGCCTCTAGAAAATCCATTTCACCAATGCAAGATGTTTTTTGAATAATTTTGGCAGCAGAAAATTGAAAGTGTGATTTTCGAACCAACAATGTTGGACAACAGAAGACTTCTGTGTTTATTTTTTTCTAACATACGCCTCAAGTTCCTTAATGCAAAATTTTTCTTAGTTTGGGCAATGTAAATTAAACCACACTGGCAAGGAATCCTGTAAATACCCCAGGAACTCATATCCGGAATGGGGTCCTTGAGTATGGAACTCGGAATTTTATTAATGGGAGAATAAATGGCACGAAAGTTAAATTTCTGCAAAATATGTGCAACTTTAAAGCTAATTGATAGAAAGAAGGGAATGACAATAGAATTTTTATACTCTCCTAAAACAAGAGTGTGCCTATTGGTGTGTTGAGATGAAAATTTTTTAACTGATTGATTAATAATGTTGGGTGAAAAGCCCCTGTCAACAGCTATTGCTTTTAAATAATTTAATTCTTCATCAAGGGATAGTTTGGAGGAGCAAACTTGAAGAGCACTGAAAACATAGGAATAAAATGAAGCTAACTTTTGTTTAGTCGGATGACATGATTTGAAGTGTGGTGGAAGGCAAACCAATGAAGGTTTACGGTAAAACATAGTACTGCAGTTGGATGTGTTATATGTGACCAGAATGTCGAGAAACTGAAGAGAATTGAAAGTCTCAAGTTCAAAAGTGAACTGAATAGCAGGATCGATGGAATTCATTGTTGAAAGAACTTTATTTAAATCATCTTTAGTACCTTCAAACAGGGTAAAAGTATCGTCTACGTAGTGGAACCATACCGGGAAGTTTAATGTTTCAAACAATTTTGATTCATAATAATGCATGTAGATATCAGCCAGGATGGGACTGAGGGGGCTTCCAATGGCTAATCTTTCAGTTTGCTTGTAATATTTATTTTGGAAAACAAAATGTGTTTGTTTCAAACAGAGTTGAGTGAGAAATTCTAATTATTCATCTAGGTGCCCATCTTGAGTATTTCAAATGTAGGTTATTTCTGTAAAAGAACTTCAAATAAAATTATGGATAATAAATTATGGATTATGGATATCACATTTTTTTAATTCAAGGTTCAGACTTGGTGCAAGAAGGTGCAGTTGCCCCTCGCTTTTTTTTTTTTTTTTACTTTGCTGATTTTCTTTGCATTTTAGTCTATGTATTAATTGTTTGATAGATAGCCTGGCTCAGTAAAAGTAGGTGGCCAGTGTAACTCTGATTCAAAATCCAGTTATGGCCACGTGTTTCTGTGACTCCTTTGCCGATGCTTTATTTTTCTTCTTTTTTCCCCTTTCTAGTAATTTCGTTCTCCTGATGAGGAGGGACCTTTAGCTGATCGATTGAGTGTTTTAATATATGTACGCCAAATACAAGGTTGTTATTGCAATTCTGAAAATTATGGATCTTGTGGATCAGCATTTTCATTATTTTGAGATTTTACTTCCATTAATGATAACCCTACACTTTTTTCAAGAAAACTTTGATTAGAATTTCTTTTTTCATTAATAAGAGTAAAATATTTTAGCTTTGTCATAACCATGATCCTTACTGGAAAAAAAATAAGCAATGGATTCAGAACACAGCAGACTCTCTTGGACAACTATTCATAGTAGCTAATGATTTGATCCCCTGTGGAGATGATCCTGTTAGATTTTAGTAGTTTAGTTCAGCTTTCTCTAAAAGAGCTTGTGCAACAAAATAATGTAAAACATACAAAAGTTTAAAATGGAAACAAGTAATAAAGTTTTTTTTTTTCTAAGTCAGACAATTTTAGCTTTTCAAATGCTTGTTCTTTTTAAATTTCATCAAAGAATTGGCTTTTAGTTAAATTTATGCTCTGACTATTAAAAAAATAACACATTCAAAAATTTTCAGAGATGTGTGAATTAAAATTAAAATTATATGTGAAAAATGTCTAAGATAAAATAAAATAAAATGAAACGAATCACATTATTTGATCAGATAAAACAATGTGATTTTTTTCACATTATTATATTCCATTTAAATATTGAGAATATGAGCTAAAGACATGCAGAAGGAATGATTGAAAGTAATTAGTTATTCAAACATAGTTCTGAGATTATTATCTATATTCTAGACAATAATCTCAGAGCTATGAAGATTTTTTTAATGTCTAATATCATTTTTACTAATATAAAAAGTTTTTCAGATCAGTTAATAAAATCATAACTTAGATCATATTCTGAAAATTTTCATTGCTTTTATTGATCTCATCTTTATCAATGTAACAGGTTATTCAACAGTGATCATAACTTAATTATTATACATAAATGCTATAACAAATACTTACATTAAAGGCTAATTTCTCCAAAAAATGTGATATTCCACTAGGATAAGTTACTTCATATCGTGAACCCGAATCAATTACAACTAACAGAAAAACATACAAATTAGAATATAATAAATTATTTTAAGCAGATATTGCTGAAAATAAAATCCTGATCAATAATGATAAGAATATAAATAAAAGATACATATAATATCTATATTAAAAACTGATAATTTATTTCACAAAGATTACATAAATAAAAGTTATATACTTTGACAGCTTTTATTCTTTGAATATTTAAACTATTAAATTTATTTCATCACCAGATATAGTTTTAAATTATTTTTAGCTGCTGCATTTAGTCAGAGATATATTACTCATGCAAATATTTATATTTTAATATCTCTAAAATAATTGAGCAGTTATCGGTCATTGATGCTTTGAAAATAGTTATATAACTACATAAATAAAAAATGTTTGCAACAATATCCGATATCAGAACCCTTCTAAAAATCTAAATGCACTGCCAAGCCGCAATATATAATGCATTTTCAAAAAATACAAAGCAAGCTTCCATATTTTTGTTTTATTTACATAATTTTTAATGACGTGGAAATGTTAAAAATTTCATTCATTAATTATGTAAATGGTATAAACTTATTAAACATTATTTAACAGAAAAATATTAGCATCGTCTTAAAAAAACAGCAAGATACGAAAAAATTTTTTGATGTCAACAAGAAGGCTGAAAATTTTGATGGAGTTTCCTTCTTGGACTCACAGCAATAACATATTTCTTATTGTTATTATATTATAGAATTATTCTTATTATATTTAGAAAATGGAAAATTGTAAAATGCTGATCTGAGTGAAAATCCTTATTTTCCTTCAGATTAACAACAAATAAAATATATACTTTAATACTTGTTTTAAAATAATGAATTTAATATTAATATTGCTCTATTATCTCAAATTACTCGAACTAATTATTATACAGTCAGGGTCCCTCAATAGTGACTAGATTGTTTTGAAGCAAGCATAGACATAGTTAGCAGCCATAGGCAAATCAGAAGAACACTGCTTTTATCAGGGCTGTGGATTCGGTAGGGAAAATGACTGACTCCGACTCCTGGAATTTTAAAGACTCCGACTCCCTCATATATATATATATGTAAACATATACACATGAGTTACAGCTTTTTTTATAAAAGAAGTAATAGATGCTATAGGCAAAAAATTGATGGCATAGCAAATCCTTTATATTAATTAGCATTTATTATGAAATGGAAAAACTGGCATTAGTTATTTCTAAGAGACAGTATAGCTTCAGCAAGATTTTCTTTGTTGAAGGGCCTTAGATCTGATTTGATAAACTTCAGAGCTGAGAACAGTCTCTCCACACTAACTTGAGTAGGAAGAAGAGCTCTTACTGTTAGGGCTACTTCTTTTAACTTTTCAGGATATATTTTTATAAGTTCTAAAAGAGGTGTCTTTCAAGTGCAATCATATTTCTCTATTTCCTCAAAGGCCGTATAGAAATTTTGTTTGTATTTTTTCATTTTTATATCTAAAGGCTCTTGGTTCTTTATTTTCATTCGCTTTGCCTTAGTCTTCAATATATCCAAAAAATCTCTCAAATACTAATTCTTCACTGGAAGAGGATGATAGAGACTCAATTGCAATGTCTGCAGTTTGACTGTCCTGATTCGAATTCTCCAATTGTTCTGAGAATAATTTCATTCTTAATGAAAGTTCATAGGTGGCTTTTTAATTTGTTCATCATCCAAGAAAATTAGGTGTTTTAGATCTACATATTGAGCTCAGCAAGATCTCCTTGTCTAATAAACTAGTTTCTCTTTTCTTCATTGAAGAAATGATTCCTTCTGCAATAAACCCTCCATTTCAGTAAGAACAAACATTGCATTCTTCCAGTCTTGCCTCTTGTTAATTCTTCAGATTGTAGTGTTTTGGTGGCTATATACGGTATAGAAAGAAGATGAGTTTCCAGTTCTGCAAGCTCATTCCACAGTCTTTCTGTTAGTGAAACATTACGGTTATCTACATCTTCTAACATTCTTGTCTAAAGTTAATTCTTCAGATTGAAGCTTTTTTGTAGCTATATACTGTGTTGAAAGAAGGATTTCCAGTTCTGAGGTTATTTACATCTTCTGAAAAAGTTCTTAAGCCTAACAACTACTATATCATGAAACATTTCCATTGCAAGGATTGCTCCTTTTCCTGCTCGCTTCCTAAGAATGGCATCAATTTTGGGAGTTCTTGCTGCTATTGCTGCTTACCTAAATTTACCAGTGAGATTTATAACTCAATGAATCAGTTTAATCACTAATGGCAAATATCCTCCTCCCTTATATCAATCATGTCAATAAAATAGAAAATAACTATTTATTAAAGTATATAGTCCATAAATAAAATAATAACTCAACTTGTCATTAATTTTTTCAATTCATTTTAATTTCATTTCAAATTCAAACTGTCCAATCAAAACTGGAGTCGGAGTTGGAGTCAACCTGTTTTTAGCAACTCCAACTCTGACTCCATTTACCCCAAAATCTGCCCGACTCCGATTCCATAGCCCTGGCTTTTATTTCGATATTTTTTTTTTCTAAGTTTTGATTTGATGAATAATCTAAAAGACAGAAGTACACCTGCAACAGGAATGATGAGATATAACAGGATAATAAATGCCCTATAAAAAACAGATAAGGAAATGAAAAAAAAAATTAATGGGGCTTTTGATTATAGTTAGGAATATTTGGCTTTGTTTGGAAAGATAAGAACAGTATTAGGATGTTATCAAATCATTTGGAAGTTTTACATTTGGGACATGTGCAAAGATAGTCTAGAACTAAGAAAGAACAAGTGATAATTCCACAGTCTAATACCAATACAAATTATAATAATAACATGAGAGGTGTTTATAAGCTTGACTGGATTATACAAAAGCACAGAATAAAAAATAGAGGCAGAAAATTGTAATTTCCTATTTTTACTAATGTAGTGGCTATGGTTCGTGTTAATACTCATACAGTATACCACATTGCTAATGAAAAAATGCATTTACTAAATTTCAGAAGAGTAGTTGCAAGGTTTTATTTTAATTTACACTCCCTATTTGACTCAAAAAATAGTGGAAGACTATCCTGCAGTGTAAGTTCACAGAAACATATACCAGAAAATGTGAGAAAAATTTCTGAAGAAAATTATTTAGAAAAAACATTAGATAGGAAACTCAGAAAATGTGTGGGTTTAAAAAAAAAGTTCACAAACAATGTGCAAAGTGTGATGTTGAATTACATACAGAAAGTGTTACCACATAGCACTGATAAGAAAATTACTCATATACAATTTACATATAGAGTGCTGTGATCCCCAAATGAGGATTGCTTTTTAAATCAATAAAAATCCCATTTATTTCCAATAATGTAAAATTTAGTATGCTATCTTTCTTTATATGCAGAAGAGGAACTAACTATATTTGAAAAAAAAAAAAAAAAAAAAAAAAAAAGGCCCCCCCCCCAAAAAAAAAAAAAAAACCATAATTAATGGGTCTAGTTAAAAATTCAAACGGGAAAAATAACAGATATTAAAAAAATTAGAAAATTTTAATGTAAACCAAACAACTTCGCAAAGAAAGCAGGGGAAAAAAAAAATTTGTTAGCAAACTAAGATTAATTAAGACACAATAACATGCCGAACAAATACTAATTCAGAAGTCAAACAACAAAAATCAGCATTATAGTTTCAAAATTAAGATTAACAACACATTAAGATTAACAAAACTAAGATTAATATAAAGTCATGAAACTGTGGATATCATTTAAAATATTTGTGTTTTAGGTTGCATTTTCCACCACATAACTCAATTACATAAGAATGTAATTGGTTATGGTCAGTATTACATTGACCTTTATTTGACCATTTCGCACTGTGCAATAACTTTTCAATAGCTTGCATATGACAACCAGTATCAGGATCAATAAAATTATGTTTATGGTTAACACAGATATGTTTAAATATGGCCTCTCTTAATTCTTAAGTGTTATACACTTTCCAACAATCTGAATACATTATAATGGCATTAATAATATTTTTTTCAATAATTTAAAGCAAAATAGTTAGGCACAGCAATTTTGGCAAATCCTACCTTACACCTACTGGGTGGAAAAATACAACATAGTTTTTTTTTATGCAAAAAAAAAAGACCTTCATCAACAATATAACCAGTGCCACCTATTTTAACTGACAGTCTAGATAATCCAGAGCCACAGACTTCCCTATGTAACTGTTCCAATCAACAATAGTAAAATGATTCATATCAAGTAGATAGCCGTTAAGAAACTGATTCTTGCTTTGAAAACATAATTCTTTTTTTTTTTTCTTTTTTTTTTCTTGGCACATCTCTGTTTCGGTATCGGTATTGCCTTTGAACTGAAGTAGGGCTTCATTTTATGGTCTTTCCAGTACTTTCTTCAAGGGAATAATAATTCCTCATTCCTGAAGAAATTTTATGGAAGATATTTCATCATTAGGTAAGTTCCAAACTGTCATGGTAAATACAATGATAATAAAAATACAAATTACCATTACATCTTTAGAATCTGTATTCTCATTGCCAATTTTGGAGGCATTCTTTTACATTTTTTAAAAAACTAAACACTGTAACAAATATAAAAGTTAACATTGGCAACTTCATATGAATCAATTTCTTGGCAAATTTAGCAAAACATTTGGCTAGACTGATTTCAGTGACACCAGACGGCCGGCCTCATTGAACTCAAACAGTGATTTCTGCAACATAGCCACTACTGAAAATGAACTCATCGACCAAATTTATCCAAATATTGTTCACAACTATACCAATCTGGAGTGGCGACTTCAAAGGGCAATTTCGACAACTAAAAGTAATATTGTTGATGATATCAACTTTAATATTCAAAAGGAAATTCCTGGTGAAGACAGAATACACAAATCAATTGACATGATGGTAAACATTGAAGAAAGTGCTAACTTCCCTACAGAATTTTTAAACTTTTCACAAGTACCAGGAATGACATAACACTGCCTTTGACTGAAAATTGGATCTCTGATGATACTTCTCATAAATCTCAACTCACCAAAATTATGTAATGGAACAAGGCCGATCTCAAACAGCTATCGAATAACATCATTGAAGCTGAACTTATGACAGGAAGGGGCAAAGGACACACAGTATTTAACCCCAGAATACCACTCATAGCTACTGAACTGCCATTCCAATTTAAAAGACTGCAATTTCTAATAAAATTAGTCTATAGTTTTTCAATTAACATAACACAAGGACAAACTTTAAAGCATTGCACCATCAACCTCAAAGACTCCTGCTTTTCTCACGGTCAGCTATATGTAGCTTGCTCTCGAGTAGGAAATTCGAAAAATTTGTACACACATACCTCGAACACCAAAATAAAAAACATTGTTTACAAACAAGTATTGTAAATAGAATATGTTTTTAATAAAATAATTTTACCTCTTATATTTTAAAGGTTATCTTTCTATTCCAACTACTACACAATCTCATATCAACTCCCTGAGTGAAACCGGGTAACCCCGCTAGTGATAAATAATAAGTAAGTTGAGATTATTGTTTTTTTTTTTTTTTTTTTTTTTTTTTGGGTAATTTCTGATTATTCACATTCCTGCTGTAAAAGTAAAAAATTAGTAAACTGAATGCACTGCAAAACTGATACAAGGGATCGAACCAAGTAATGTACCAAGTGAGTAATAAACTGAATAAGTACTAATATGTGTAATTTTTAATATATTTATTTCATATTGAAATTTTTATGAGGCAAATTATTAAACAATAAGAAGTTTAGAAATAGCTAAAGTGATTTTTTTTCTCTCTAATATCTGTTATATTACATTATCTGCCAATTAATATATTTACTCATTTCGCTTTATTTTGCTCTTTGTTATACAGTCAAAAGTCGTTAATCCGGACTCGTCGGGACTTCGGCGATTCCGGATTATCGATTTTTCCGGATTATAGATCATCAGTTTAAATTTGGTAAGATGGCATGCAGAAATTACAAAATTAAAAAATGAAACCGTAATTTATAAATAAGAACAATTATGATCTAAAGGTATCAAAATTACAAAAAGAAAAAGCTTAATATTTATTTTTTTACTTTATAAACATTTCCTTCAATGTAAGTTGCTTCGTTTCATGTGATAATACTTTTCTTTAATTCTATTAAACAGACATAATTTCTTGTTTAGTTACAAAGTTCCGCGTTTCAAGTCCTATAATGGCTGTGTTGAAATACCGACTAATTTGTCAATCGAAATGTTTTCGTTTTCAATAACCTCTGGGTCACTTTCTTCACTATCGGAAGCGAATTATAATGACGAGGAACTTGATTTAAATCATATCAAAGATGGAGTACATCGAGATGAAATACTACACTTAGTATGGAATTATAAACCAAATAAAATAAAAACATCTGCCTGAAGATAAGGATAGTGTGACAGATCAACTTCCAATCCGCGGCGTGAAATTGATAAACAGATTTCGGATATCAAAAACTACTTTCGCTTTGTAGATACAAATTACATATTAGTAAAATTATATCGGAATTCTATTTGACATAATCTTTCTAATCTATCATAATCTAATAATGACGTTTCTGCCCCCCCCCACTGCTGCAGAGCAGCGTGAAATTGATAAACAGATTTCGGATTTCAAAATATACTTTCGCTTTGTAGTAATATATATCGGAAATTCTATTTGACATAATCGAAAGTTCAAGCTTACTTTTAAAATTGCTCTAACAGTCTGCAAAATAATAAGCCGGATCCAATTCGAAGATTAAGGAATAACGCAATCTGCAACATTAACTGAATTAGATAACTTTAGCTTAGCGTATAACTCCGTTACACATTAACGCGCATGCGCACAAAACATATTCGCAGCCGTAAGGGTCTTTACGCGCTCTCGTAAACGCCTGTGCGCATGCGTGAACGCGACGCATGCGCAGAAAGTTTGTAGCTTGAGGTCCGGATTATAGATCATTCGGTTATGGGTGTCCGAAAATTAAGACTTTTGACTGTATTAAATTATCTTTTGGTTGATGTATTTACTCAATTTACTTTATTTAATTATTAAACAAGCAAAGTGTATTGTTATAAGCATTAACTTTACATAATATTAGCAAAAACTGAGCCTTTTCTTCTATTCAGAACAAGTGATCAAAATGACCACTGATCTTAGTTATAGGTATGTAAAAAATGCCGTAATGCTAGTGTTAATACAGGAAGAGTGAGAAGACACTGTATGAAAGGACTGTCTGAAGAACATCTGAAGAATCTTCCTTTAATCTCCAGTTTTGAAGAATGAAAAGGCAAATTTCTATTTGATTTCTGAATTAAACTGCAACCTCTTCTTTTAACAAAAAGGTCTGCCTTCTCATTTCTCTCAACACCACTGTGAGAAGGTATCCACTGGAAAGACACTTTACGTTGAATTCTCTAAAGTAGAGATGTAGACTGCTGGAAGCAAGGGCTGTTGCAAAATGCCTATAGAGGGCGCTCTAACTTCCATATATCTGCAAGTTAAGATTAAAATTTGATTGTAACTAGATATATTTAAATGCTTGCAACTAATAATTTGTCAGCAAGAGAGCATTTGTGCTCTATTTTAGTAACTTGTGAATAAATAAATTGTTGTGTTTTTGAGTGAGACCTTTTATCATCTATAGTTTTAAATCTGAACCATCAAATGTATATTTTAATTAACTTTGATTACAATTACACTACTTTGTTAGATTTGTTTTTAAGGGCTTTTCTTTTCTTGATTAAATAATAAAGCCTGAGGGGCAGATGTTTAATTAGAGATGATCACAGTCCTCTTAAAGGAATTCTGGTGAATGGAAAGTTGTTGAAGAGTTACATAGACTTATTCCAGCTCAGTTTCAAAATGGGTCCTGAAATTTCCAAGTGGCAAATAAAAAAAAAAAAAAAAAAAAAAAAAGTTCATAAAAAAATACCAGCCCCAACTCTTTGTGGGGCTTCACATCTATACAAAAGGGAACCATCTGTATAGATATGAAGCTACTTATGAGTAGGATAGCGATTGTAGATAGTTTCCAGAGTAATCACATGGAGTGCTTCAGGTGAGCAGTCTGACTTTATTTTTTGATTTAAGTCCAGTCTTACATCAAGGTCTATGTAATCCAAGGGGTTAAGAAGAGAAAGTAATTCAATAGTTATATTGTTAACTAAATGGAAACAATCAATATCATGTGCATATTGTATTAAAAAAAACCTTTGAGTTCCCAGGTTACATTCTTGATTATCATTACAGTCTTTTCAAAAAGAGTAATTAGGGAAAATTAATTAACCTGTTACAAAGAACAGATGCATCTTTTTAATCACATTAATCAAAGGTTGGTTTTTATCAATAGCTGCAACACCAACACAATGGAGACCTTGTCACACCTCGTAATTTTGATAAAATCTTTGTGAACAGTAAATTCTTAAAACATTTACAATAACTCCTGATCAAGGATTCTCTAGAAAACAGCCCATGAAACACCCACACAACCCATTTATGATATTATTCTTAAAATTAAAATACCTCCAATAGCACAAGATTGGCCAAATTTATTTTGTGATGCAACTCGAAGTCCATTTGAAAGAGTTTCCACTTTAGTTTCTGTGTTTAAATTTTCACTTGTAACATAAATAGGTTTTGGTGCCAGTGGAAATGGTTTTGATAATGGTATTCTCCATGCAGCTTTACCCACATTCTGGCTTAAATGGCACATCGGGATAATACTTCCTTTAGAAATTTTTCTGCAGATATAAAAGAAATATACACAAATGAGAAAATTAATAAAATAAATAATAAGTCATGCAATGTAAAATAGAAAATTATTATCCATGAACTAATTTTTTTCTGATTGATGCATGCCAGTTCTAGATGCATAAAGCAGTGTTTCCCAAACCTTTCTTATTGCAGAACTCTTAGTTCTTAAATTTGTAAAGAACAGTAGAATGCATTGTGTTTTCAAATATAATAAATAATAATGCATATATTGGGTAAATAAAATAAACACTTATTCCAAGTTTTAATATGATACCTAAAAAGATATATTTTCCAATTTCTAATGTTAAAAAAAAAATATATATAAAATTAAATAAAACAAACAATATAAAAATATTTAAACATTTTTAGTTTTCAAAGATTTTTAAGTATTTGATACTTTGAATCGCATTTCTTTCAATTTAAGGTGCAATGCAAGAAATCTAAATTATTGTGCCGGATGCAGCATTATGTCAATTGCTGTTTTTTCTTAATTTTGTTGCAGCTTAATGACAAAAACCTGCTTTGATAAATACATATTCACAAAAAGAAGTAAAATATGAATAGCTCATTTTGATAAGTTTGGACTTTTTTTTGGCAAACGTATTCAGAATTCATTGGCCCTTTTCCGCTAGCAGGACAGTATTCAGAAATAAGTGTATGCATGTACGTACCTGTATATACACACATGCATACGTAGGCGCATTTATAAATGCATACATGCCTACCTTTCTGAATCCATTCCCGATAACAGAAAGTACCAAGTCATTTATATTATGTATTGCTTTGGCAACGTAAGCCAAATGGTGCTGAGTTACGGCACTTTGGTAAATTTTACACTAAAAGGCCGAAATAAAAATAAAATTAGATAAGTAAAAGCGTGAAGTTTCTCACCAAAAATGTTCGATGAGAAATTTAAACTAAAATAACAACAATAAATTCCAAACGATTTCAACACAAAATTAAAAAAGATAATGGTAAAAATTTACAATTGGGTTTCCCTTGTTTTGTTGGAGATTCTTTTTTCATGCCAAGTGCAGGAAAAGCACAATTTCAAGATGATCGCTACACAAAACCAAAATAAGAAGCCAAAAAATTGCACAAACTCGTCCATGTATACATCAATCTATTTTTCACTTAAAAAAACAACAGAGCATTGCGCAAACTCGGCATTGCGCACTGCCTTGACCTTATCCATGTACACATATATCCATTTTCACTTTTAAAAAAATCAGGAGAATGATGACATCATATAAGGTTACGTTAGCAACTACTCTGGTAAAAGAAAAAGAGATGAAGAAAACAGTTATTGATTCGAGCATTTTAGCAACACAGAAAAACTAGATGAAAACTTTAGAATTAGCACTTTTATTTTATAACTTAAACTCAATTTTTGAGAGTTTTTAAATTGGCTATAATCAGATATTTTGTTCAAATGATTATCCTTTTAAACTAAAAATGTAAATAATATTATGTCAACATAAAACAACGAAAAGCTAAGTCATGTCTATGATTATTTCTACGTTATGAATGATTCATGAAAGAAGACATTAGCTTTTTTCTAGCAGATTTTTGGAGTGTAATCCTGCATCAAGAAAATCATAAAAGGGGTAAGTCTTGAAATTTATTCAGACCTTACATTAATACATTTAACACAAATTGGACTATATACTATTTTATTTAAAAGACATTCAATAATTTGCAACCTTCTGATATAACAGCCACACTATTTTGATGAATCGGACGATACATGATAATATTTTATTCTGCCATGAATGACGATAAAAATGTCCAGCCGAAAGCTGAAGCTAGCAAGGTGAGTGTGAAAGTTCCACCGTTTTGGGTTGAAAGACCTGAGATATGGTTTTATCATGTAGAGGCCCAATTTCAAATAAGTGGAATCAAAAATAAAGAAACAATGTTCAATTATTTGGTTTGCCCAATTAGAACCTAGATTTATGAGGAACATCTGGGATATCATAAAAGACTCTACGAGCAGCAAATATTTGGCTGCTAAAGATCGATTACTTAACACTTTTAAGGAAAGTGAAAATCACAGCATTAAATGTCGGCTCGCCAGGATGGAACTTGGCAACATGAAATCCAGCCAGCTCCTTCTCAAAATCAAATCTCTGAGGGTAGACATGTCAGAGAATATTTTGCAATCTCTTTGGCTGGAAAGGATGCCAGATGCTGTGAAAAAAACATTCTATTGGTTAGTGACGAAACTCTGGACAAGCTGGCCACAATGGCTGATGGAATTGTAGAGCTAAACTCGTGCCAGGAATCGGCTGCTATCAGCAAAAATACAGTGGTGGAAAAACTACAGCAGAAAATTGCCTCATTAGAGCTCCAGATTGCCAGTATGGCTGCCCAGAACTACAGACCATGGATTCGCAACTTCAGTAGGAACAGTAGTAGTCGTTTGAGATCAAGAAAGAAATTTGATGAAAAAGGTAAATATTGTTATTACCATTTTAAATTTGGTGCTAAATGCTATCCTGAAAAATGTACACAACCTTGTGAATGGAAACAGTCAGGAAACGTAAATCAGCAGTAAACTTAGAGGCCAGTTCTACAGCAAGCAATTATAATTGCCACAAATTCAGACTATATGTCACCAACAAAAATTAAGGTTTTTAGTGGACAGTGGAGCTGAAGTATCCCTGATCCCTGCAACTACAGCAGGAACTTGTTCCTATACATTAGATGCTGCCAATGGCACAGAGATCCCAAGAGATAACATAGAAATAATGGTGAAAGAACTCTAAATCTTGACTTGGGACTTAGACGACAATTTCAATGGCCATTTATCATCACCAAGGTTAATAAAGGTGTTACTAGAGCTGATTTTCTATCAATACCTCCAGTAAACATTATGTGAAGCATCACATAACAACTAAAGAGGTGCCTGTCCATTCATGAGCCCATCCACTCAATCCTGAAAAACTTGCCTTAGCCAAGCAAGAATTTCAGTTGATGTTGGAGAAGGAAATCATTTGAAAAATTTTTCAATGCACTTATTGAACAATTTTATCAACCCACTACATGTAAAAAAAACATATCCCAGTGAAAAGTCCATACTGAACAAGAAATATTGAACGTTAAAACTAAACTGATTGCTCAAAGTGGTCAAATATTCATATGAATTCAAGTTCAAAACTTTTGAATAATTTTTTTTAACCAATATGTTTTAAATAACTTTTCTCAAACCAAGCAAGTTTTAAAAAAGGATTATCAGTGTAAATACTAAATAAAGGCATTTATATTTAGTAATTGATATCCTCAAATTAAATTGAAAAAAACAAGTGTCTAAAAACAAATATGAGTTACCCAACAGCCAAACCTTAACTATATTTATTTGGACTTTCAATTCACTTCAAAAGTGCTTGAGATGGGACTTCTTTTATTTTCATACAATAATACCATTAAATAATACGATTAATTCGTTACTCCAAATAAATTAAGAATAAAAGAAATAAATAAGAAATAAATACAATATGAATCAGTATTCTAAGGTGAAGTAATGAAAATACATTCATGAATAGAGGAAAGAAAAACGATTATGTTTTAAATATTTTTCGATATTATACAATTTCATGATCTTACCTTGTTAAGAACTGCTTTAAGGAATTAAGACAAGGTTTGCAAGATGTCGATATAGCCATGCTTCTACTACAGTCACAAACAGCAACAATTTTGTTTGCAAACACGCTGTGATTCAAATCTGCCGCTGGATTTTATCTGCACTGATTTGGGAAAGAGTACATTTAACCGATAGGCGGCGCTTCACATCCGTCTGAGACATAGACCTGAGTTGACAGTTGTTTATCAGCATGGTACATGCCAATGAGCCTATTAATTGTAAACTCTTTCCTATCCGCTTTTTGCTTTAGTGTTTGTACTGTGTATAAAAAATTATAAAAAACCAAAAAAAGTATAAATATAAAATACAAAAAAATTATAAAAACCTAAAAACTTATAAAAAAATTATGATACTTAAGTTTTTATATTCTCATCTCTATCCCTAAACTTTCTCGAGCCTGTGGCTCCCTCTATTGAGCATCAAGTAAACCACTTATGCCAAATTTTTCCAATTTCTGCTCACTTTTAGTAATTCTGATGTGGAGGTAAATGGTTTTGAACCATAGGCACTCCGAAATGTGCAAATCATTGGCATTGGCATCAGCATGGTTTATCATTTAGGCAACATATTCAAATCCTCATCAGAACGGAATTTTTTCATGGTGCGTATGGTTCAAAGGAATAATTGAATAGCATAAAAAGTTATGACCGAGAAAAGAGGGCATTTACTACTGGACAAGGACTTTGGAAGTTCAAGGTGATGCCTTTTGGATTATGTAATACGGCGGCAACGTTGTTGTTGTTTATACTCACTTGTCTGACGTAGTCAGCCCAAGCTCACAAGAATCCTGGAGACAAGGAGGCATGTTCCTAAAACGTACTCGCTGTACCTCCTGCTGTGAGAGCTGCTTCGCTGCTATTGGTTAGAAGAATTTAGACGTAACATAGAGCTTTCGACGTCATTTGTTTTGTCACGTGGTAAAGCTTCTCGTACTCCAGCCATACTTGTTCGGATTAGAGCGGTTATGTTTTAATCCTTTAAAAAAATCAGTTAAGTCAGAGGTGAGTTTATGTACAACTGAATTAATTCATATGTTAATATATATTTTCACTTTATGCAATAACACACTTGAGAAATACCGGATCATTACAAAGGAAGGAAAATGGGTTATTTGCTTGAGAGGGTTATATCCATATAGCATTTTGCTAATGAAATGTTGGAAAAACAATATTTAACATAGTTTATTAATCTTTTATCGTGATACAACCACATTTTTAAGAACAAGATTACAAAGTTTACAATTATACACCTAAATTTATCTCAGTTTTCACTCTGAGATGGAATCCCAGGAAAAATATTGTTAATGATGGACTAGATCAAAGTAGTTATATAGAGAAAGCACACGTGGGATCTTTGCCTTTACTGAATAACATTTGCCAGTCAATTTACAGCAAAATATATATGCCTACTGTCCATTAAATTAAATATAACCTTTGAATCGCTCTTAATATTCTTGTTTTAAAAGTAACTTGTCAGTTAATTTTATCAGTAACTTTTAGTATGCATTAGGTAGTAAGGAATATACTTTTTAGACACATAAACATTGCTTGGATTATCCTAAATTTTCATTTATATTTTAAAATACACAGTGTCATTTCCATTATCTATTTCTACTTCATTACCTTTTTTTTTTTTTTTTTTTTTTTTTTTTTTTTAAGATGGGGATGATCTAGTGTGACAAATTGCATTTTGAATGTATTTTAAATTTACCATTAATATTTTAAACTACATTTTGCACCAATATTTATGTTTGCTCTCCCATTAAGGGAAACAAATATAATAATATAAGTTATTAAATTAAAATTCCTATATTTAAATTAAAATTCCTGTGTTTAATTCCATCTTTAACAACAGCCATAAAATATATGGAATTTACATTCTTACCACAGATGTGGTAAGTCATGAACTCATTGGCAACTTTGAAGAGCATTTGCAAACTTGTTGGTGAGTTAGGAGAGGGATGTTTGTTTGCATATCTTTAAATTTATTTCAACGATGCATCCACCACCACCTATTGTTTTACATTTTTCTTCTTCAATACAAGACACGCACAATTCTAGGCTTTTTTTCACCGTTGTTTTCCCTATAAATCTTTTTAATAAAAAAAATTTAAAAAAAAAAAAAAAAAACAGAAAATTGCAAAATTTTGGCACCAGAATCCTAAAATGAGAAAGGAAAGAGAGGCATGTGATGCCTTTTATGTTGTATGCATGCAGAAAGCAACATCGCCAAAGATTTTACCAGAGACAACAGAAACTGCGGTATGTGGTCCACCCGAATGCTGAAGTACTGAAATTCCCATAGGAGGGATCATAATCTGCAACCACACTGGTGAAAATATCTGGAGAAGTGCTGTCTGGGAGAATGCTATGTGTATACTTGGGTTGCCATATAAATGATTTTTAGTGACATGTGTAGCCACATAAATTTTTCTTCGCATCATGGTTTAGACCATCAATACTTTTTTCACAGCATTCTGGTGAGGTTCAGAAAATTAGAAAGTACCAAAATTCATCATTTTAGAATTATTTTGAGTAAGTTATACACTTTGTGAACTGTGATGAACAAAAATTAATAAGCTGTGCTTCCCTCAAACCAATTTTCTTTCTTCCACATAATAATTTATTTGCATATATCAGAACTTTACTGTTGCAATATGCTTTTGGAATGATTATTATTTCAATCTATGAGATTTTTATTTTACCACCAAAGAAAACGCACAGACATCATTGCTGGGAAATAACTACCTCTAAAAATCTGAGATGTATTAATAATAAATAGGTACCTTTGTCACAATTTGAATTATCATTTTTAAAGCACATATGCTTTATACTTTATATTTAATTATGTTAAAAAAAAAAAAAAAAGCACTATCCTACTTGATCTGGTTTTCCTACCTGAGCTGGTGAATGAACTCACTAGTTTGACTCATTGATTAAGATAACATAATCTGTATGTATGGCTTTTACAGTTATATTATTCTTCAGTTCAGAACTAATATTATTCTTCAGTTCAGAACTACATAGCAAAAAGTTAAAGTAGTTTTTTTTAAAGTGACCATTGTTTCAGCTAACTTTGGTAGAAAAAATTAGCAGCCCTTAGATGCTTTGCCATGTTCAAGTAACCTAACCAAACCCTCGTTAGAACATTATAAGTGACTACAGCTATAGTTGTGCATAGAACTTTGCAAATAGAAGGATAAATAATATAAATGAATTTTTTCCAGATGAATCTTAATACATCAACACCATCAAGGATCACATCCATGGTCTGCATCAAAAAAATGCCACGTTATGTCATGCATTATGCATCCCCATACAGGTCTGAAACCAAGTGTAATCGTATGGTCCATTACATTCCAGTTGCCTTCACGTTTAATGCTAATTTCACGTTAAATGCATTATGTCATGCATTATGCATCCCCATACAGGTCTGAAACCAAGTGTAATCGTATGGTCCATTACATTCCAGTTGCCTTCACGTTTAATGCTCATCGGTGGCCAGGGCAACCTGTATGAGTGCAATGGGCAGCAAGACATAGGAGCGTCAAAATTTTTAGAATTTTGGCAGGAACTGGAAGGCATAATTTGCAAGCAGCAGTTATTCTATTTAGGTGATAAAATATCTAGCTCTGGCTTCGCTAGCAGCCAAGCAGTAAAGTAGTTGAATACTGATAATTCGACCTGGGTTTACATTCTAGCGAACAGGTTGGCTGCACGTGTGTTTTCATAGTTTTCTGCATATATGAAATATGTATAAGCTAACTTCTCTTTGAAAGTACCTCTACCCTTAGCCAAGTTACTATACTGTAATCAAATAAATTAAACACCCCCCCCAAAAAAAACAGCCTCCATGTTTAATGTGCAGTTGAACAGGCGCCATTGTTTAGGGCTACTGTAAATGATTTATCAGATTTAAAAATTCTAATATCGAAAATATTATGCATATTATAATGATTGAATCCAAGTAAAGAATGAGAAATTATCCAAATTTTCTTTACGTACAACAAATGTTTTGCTGTGTATGTTATGTGAGCACCAGCTACATTATGTACAAAAATACCATGTGAGCACCAGGTGCATTTTGTACATAACATATTAACAGTACATTATGTACAAAAATGCACTCCTTAATGTTTGCCCAATCGAAGACTTCAAATGTGATAGATGATGCAGTATGGAAACTCGTACAAAAAATGTGAAATCAATAGCCATTTGGAAGTGTGCTATGTGATCAATGTTCATAAAATGTATGTAGCATGCGAGGTAATTTTTTAGTTTCTAGTTCATTTCCAAAAATTGATTATTGTATGTATACCATTTATGAAAAGGCAGTGTTTTTAAAATCTGATGAATCATTTATTATTACTCTGAGGTTTTCGAAGCTCACTGCTGTCTATCTTTAGAGGTTGTCTAGAACTAGTGATCAACAAGGAATGTATGGCACATAACAGAGAACAAATCCTAAATTCCCACCATTTTTTTTATTGATCTATTAATCCCTTGATCTATGATTTCATCAGATCTGTTATCTACTGAATATATCAGGCCTATGATTATAAAAAAACTAACGTACCACAGTCTACCCATGGCTACATCAGCTGAAAACTGGTAATAACTGAAATCTACTTTTCTCACATATTCTAGGTGCACATCCAGTATCTGTTTATCTTCATGCAATGGCTGTACGAGGTGGTATACTCCAAGTTTAACTGTTTTTTAAACCATGTACTTTAAGTCTAACTGATTTGCTTACACATGTACAGTTAAACCATGTATTAAAATTTATTTGTATAATAAATATGGCTTTATCTCCCGTCTTCAATAATGTTATGCTTTTAAGGGCCATCAGTGTTTTAAGATTACAACAGTTATTTATATTAATGTTAACCCCCCAAAATATTAAATCATTGTGGAAATCTACAAATTAGACAAACTGCAATTATCATTTTCTTCTAATATTTAATCTAAAGCAACGGTTCTCAACCTTTTGACTAACGCGTACCATCTAAACAAAAATTGAAAACCTTTAATATCACCACCACTCCTGAACAAAGCTCAAATCACATAAATTTACGAGTGTTAGAAAAAAAACTCAATCAGGATGTTGGGTTTTAATTTTTTAATTTAATAGTTAAAAATACTTTGCTTCTTTGTATACACCATGGTTGAAAACCCCTGATCTAAAGAAATGTTCCTATGTTGTTTAGATTCATCCACACTCATTCTGCAAATAAATTGAGGAAATTTTTATATTTTTGTCTATTAACAGTCAAATGGTA